TGTCTTTGTAGGGCCTTAGGTGTAGGCCTTGAGGCTCATAATCAAGGTTAACATTTAGGTGCTCATGCGTGCCACTGCCATCTTTAGCATGGCAGATGTAAAATGGTTGTCGTGCTTTAGTTGTATATATGTATGTATCCAAGAAACTGTGTTAGTTATAACAGGTGCCTTTGTGGGGCCTCAGGTGTAGGCCTTGAGGCTTCCCATAAATAACTAAACCAGTGCTCGAACGCATCATATTTGTTCTCATGATTGTAGGAGTTTTCTAACTATTATACTTCTGATTACCCGAATCCAAGAAGTAGAATGAACCCAAATAGGTGCCTTTGTGAGGCCTTAGGTGTAGGCCTTGAGGCTTCCCATCAGAGTTCATTCTTATACTTAGACTCTTTAGATCGCCGAACGGAATGAATCCAAATAGATGCCTTTGTGGGGCCTTAGGTGTAGGCCTTGAGGCTTTCCATTAGAATCCATTCCATGCTCAAGCGTTCTATGATAATCATGACATAATAGAAAGAAAACTAGAAGGTAGGTTGATTACTTGCACCCCAAGTAACTTCGGACTTCTCGTTTATCAAGGACTGTCGTGGATGGGTTAAGTCCACATAAAGTTCTTTTTTATGCCTTGAGGCCAAGGACTTTTAACTGATCAGATTTACATGCCCGAGGGCTTAGGACTTGGATCTGGTTTGAACACTGACAATATATTCAAATCGGATTCAAGTGCTGAGAAAGCTTTTTAATAGTCATGTTGCTAGAAATAACTTGCATATAACTGGAAGTATACAACATATTGAAAAGACAAGACTAAAGTAAAGAAGGTCGGGCAAGGTTAAACCTTATCGGGTAAGGTTGCTCGTCTTGCAGGTTCCTATCTTTGTAGTTTTGTCAAAGGTCTGAAAGCTTTAGAGGGGTAGGGAGAGAGAGATTACAAAAGATGAATCGATACTACAGCAAGGTTTAACAAGGTAGCAGAGCTATTACAAAGGGTTGAAGAGAGGGTTATCCCGAAAGGAATGGAGGTTTATCCCGAAAGGGATGAAGGCTGACTACAGCTTTGTTTTGAAGGCAAATCTGCCTTTAAGCAGAGTTTGTGCTTGCATTTGTTTGTTTGATTGAGTGTCCTTAATCCTGGATTTTCTTTCTTCTTATATAGACAACTCGGCTTGGCCTTTGGTAGCAGCAACTTTGCCCGAATGCGGTTTGAGGGTGATGACTCATCAGTTATATTACATGTAATGCCACCATAAAGTACTTTATGGGCTGTGTAGCTGATCAGTCTACACCACTTGGCTTTTGGGTAGGTAAGCAAGTGGTCTTCATGAGCTGCACCAAGTCAGAAAAGGCATTTCCCTGCTTTCTGGGCTTTGACTGGGCTTCGGCTATCTTCTTTTTCGGACCTCCTTTTGGGCCAACTCCTTTCTTGAGCCCAAAGTTCAAGTTTTGATCCAAACACACCCATTTGGCCTTCATTCCCCTTTCTCAAACCCTAGCATCAACAACACCAATTCTAGCCGATCTCTGCAATAGTGTCGGCTCCTGCTTCTGAAAACCAAAACCGCACAAACCTGGCTTCCATTTCTGTAACTCGGAGCTTCGTCTCTCTGAGTCTAACTCCGAATATCAACAAGGTCTCTCTCTCGCGTATAATTTTGAATTTTTGGAATTTATCTTGGAATTTTGTCTTTGATTCTCCTTTCTGTTTGTGCTTTTACATTTTTGCAAGTCGGCGAGAAGCCGAGCATAGCTCTTTCTATAGCCTCCGTTCTCTCCCATGGCCAGGTATGCCCTCTCTCTCTCATGCACTCACAAGCTCACCTTTTGAAATCCTAGCTCCAAAGCTCTAAAGCTCCAAGTTAAGGACTTTTTGAATGCTAATAAAATATAGGAGGCAACAAAGAAGTTGGAATTTCAATTTTTTATTTTTTTTTATTTTGTTGGATGAGCATTTAGATGGAGTGAACTCAGCTAGAAATGAGAACTGGGCTTACCCCAATTTTTATTTTTCAATTAAAGAACATGGTGATTAATTTCCGTTCTTTTGTTCGGGCATGAAATTGGAGGGTGAATTATTAGGATGATTTGGTTTTAGTGGCATAGAGGTGCTTAATTCTTCCATAAAGTAGAGAACTTTTACTTCTAACTTCTAAGGAGGGTTTTAGATGCTTAGCTTCGATGTCGGTTATAGGATCCGTTTACAGAAATAGAGGGTAAGTGAGTGTTTGTTCTATTTGTTTTGGATGGCAATTTAGCTTAAGAGACAAACAGTCGGGGGAGGGCAAGATGGTTGCTCCATATATTGACTCCTTTACCTGCATTTATATTGTTGTGCTAACATTTTTTCATTTTCTGTTATGTAGCTGAAGCAGCTAAAGTTGAGTGTTTTAATCGGTTGTATATATCACCCAGTTTACCCGTTCCTACTGCTGCTCAACAGGGACAAGTTTCACAGCAGGTGAGTGGAAATACTGGGTTGTTCTTAATTTTCTATTTTCTGATTGAAATTTGATGATAGATCTGATTCAATCGGAAGACTAAGCTAAAAGTACAAGTGGTATTTTTTGGTTAATTGGTTGGGGTTTTGGATGGCTCTTCTGGGTTGTTGTTAATTGTATGTTTTCTGATTGCATTTTGCATCAATTTATCCAACGGATTAGTGAGCTAAAACTACAAGTGGGGTTGTTTTGATTTTTTGGGTTGTTTAATTTTCTATTATTTTATTGAATGGGATTTTATTCAATGGGGTTAGTGAACTAAAAGTGCAATTGGGTTTGTTTTGGTTTTGAAGCTCAGACTCTTACATATTTGAAAGTTGAATCTAAGCCTTTCAAAACCTTTGTAAACGTGCTGTCAATTGTAAGGTATTCTGTGCAACAAAGCTTGATATCAATTTTGGGGTGAGTCTTGATTGAATGGGATCTCTGTGTGTAATTGTAATGTTGGAGAGAGAGAGAGAGAGAGAGAGAGAAGAAGATAGTTGGAAAGGAAAGTGAATTATTGTTGCGGGTGTGCGCTTCTTTTGCTAACTTTTTTGTGAAGCCTTTTGAGATTTGTAATTTGAGAGAGAGAGAGAGAGAGAGAGTTAATGGAAATATATATGAATTTATGGGTGATGAAATTTTGGAAGCCCAAATGATTCAAAATTGAAAGTTATGTGTAAATTGATACGTGTGGGTGTGAATGTTTTTCATTTGCCTACTCTTTTAAGTTGGTGTTTTCAGTTTTTTTCTGTTTTTGGCCAAATAAAAAAATTAGTACTAGAGTGACATAGTTGTATTAATGGAATCCCTAATTCTAATAAATTAGAGATTCTCAACCCTTATATGATTTTGGTGTTTTCATTTTGTTTGTCACATTTTGTTGTTCTTGCCTAATTGTTATTTAATTAGTTTTGTTTTTTAACTTTGGATAGGTGCTGTTTCAGATTTTGTGTATCTCATTTTGGAAGTGATTCGTAGGTGCTCTGTAAAGGTTAGTCTTATACTCATTTTTTTAAAAAACTGTGCATAGTAGTTGTTAAATATTGTGGCGCTGTGAATGTGTCGTTTGTGAACGTTTAAAATTATGTTGATTTGAACAAGTACAGTAGCAGTCATGGAAGAGTTCAATCATCACCAAAAGTTCGGAATTTCAGATTAACCCATTACATCATTTCTATAAAAAAAATATATTTCAATTATGGCATTATCATTGAGCAAAATTAATATGTTGGCAGAAAAACATGACTGGAGGAATCATTCCCAGATCACGAGCTTGCATCTACACAGAAGTCCATCTGCCGCACAGTTGGTAGTGGGAAATGAAAATTGTACTGTTATTTTGTTGCAGCCATGGCCTCCGAAAGACGATATTCATGTATGAGCAAGAGAGGGTTGAGCTACTGACGAATTATAGTCATAATCTAGCTGAATTTGTAAGAATTGTGATTTAAATTCCAATGCTTTCGAATCGTTATAGTGTTAAGTCATTTCCTTAATTTCAAGTTTATGTTGAAATTGTGTTTGATTTTGTGATAGAAGCTACCAACTCATCTCTTGGAAGGTAACTTCTGGAGTTGTTAATTTTTGTGAAATATTTGATCTAGGTAATTTTTTTTGGGTGAAATTAGATACTTAGTTTTTGAAATAATGCAATACAATATGATTAAAGAAAGAAGATTCTTATATGATCCACCTTTGTTTCTTTTTTTGTTTTGGAATATTTTGTTTTCAAATTTCGCTTTGCATCCTGTTTATGTCCATCAGTTGGCACTCCATGGTATAAATTAACTCTAAATCTTTGTTGCCAACTGTTTTCTGTGTTTTTTTAATTACAGAAAATTTGCTGGGTTTAATTGTTTTTAATTTTACGGTTTAATTGTTTTCCCCTATTATGATCGAGTGGTAAATTTATCTTGCATTTTTTGTTTGTTAGAGTATTTTCTTTTCTTTTCTGTTTTTTGTTGTTGATTTTATAAATATGGCGGAGATATGTGGAATGAGAGCTTCTAAGTAACGAAACATCACTACCATCTAGACTCTAGAGGTTGGATAAAGCAAAATCAATAACCCAAAGTATAATCAAACAAAGAAACACAGTACAAAACATAAATAGAAAAAACCCATTTGACATTCAAGTGTCCAGTCCAAATTTCAAAGAGAAAAAAGCTAATAAACAATAGTATCATCTTCAACGGTTTCAAGACCCGCAGCAGTGCGCGGGCATTTTTGCTAGTATATACTAAAACTCAAAACCCCCTGGTCACTGTGGATGACCAGTGTGATGACAATTTTACCCCCTGGATTTCTTCTTGGTTTCCTCCTTTGTGACCTGCTTTGAACAGTGAGATTACGTTTTTGCCCATTGGATGCACGTGTTGACCATCGCTGTGCAACGCCTACTCCTCCACTTTTCTTCTCCCTTTTTCCCTTCCGTTTCCATTTTTCGCACGCGTCGATCATCGCTGGACCTGCTTTCGACTTTTCTTTGCTTTCGCTTCTCTCTCTCTCGCCTTTCTCAACTCTAGCTTTCTGTCTCCAAAACGGCGATTTTTCTCGCCCTCCGACCTTCCATCTTTCTCTGAGGAATTATCCACAACGGTGCAATTAGATCCGATTCAATTTTTTACCCAGAAACGTTGGCGTTTCCTGGTGAGTTTGACAGCTTTCTCAATGTGGGTGCTTTAATTTTTTTTTGGGGTTTTAGATTTGCAGATGGGTTTTATGTTTATGTTTGCTTTTTGTGATTTTGTTTGTAGGCTCGGATCCTCCTCTTCTTTTTCACCCAAACCAGCTGCCCCACCTTCAATTGATACGGACGGAAACACCACGAATTGAGCCGCAACACCAATACTGTAACAATTATAAGAAAAGAGCTCCAAACCCGCAAAGGTATTATGTTTTTTTCTTTTGGTTCTGGGTTTTGAGCTGTTTGGATACTGAGAATAAGTTTTTCATTTTTTTTTGTTTCTGGGTTGCCTACAATTAAGAGAATTAGGGAATGGGTTTAGCGTGAATTTAAATTCTGGGATATCCCTTGAGGAAAATCTTGGATTTTTTTTAATTTTTTTTATTTCAATGAATATTTGTATTGATTCACTGACCCCTTTTTTATTTAGTAGGGGAAAAGGGAATGAGGCAATTGAATGAGCGGTTTGTATAGTAGCTAAGTACATACAAGTATATATTTTCTCTGTGTGTGTTTGTATCATTTGTTTTTATTATGATTCCTTCCCTATTTCTGCAATTTTATGCATTGGGCTTTCTGAGATTTATGATTTGATTTTTGGTTAGTTTTTTTTAATGGAATTTGTTGTTTGGTCATTGCACTAATTACAATTGATAAACGTGTAGAAGTAGGATTACAAATAAATAGCAGCATGTGAACTAAATACAAAACAGAATCAAGATTGAACTTGATCTGCAGCAGCCGCATCCTCTGAGGAAACCGTGTTGGAACAGAACTGTATTTGTGCAGGTAGTATTGTAGTCGGCTTATCATTATTTGTACCCTGTAAGACCAAACTTACAATAAATTCTCTTATAAGCATGGGGAAAGTACCGAAATCCAAGTTTTATTCTCTTACATCTGCCTGTGTTTCCAGATCTTGCAAACGTATTTGAAGTGTTGTTGCCACAACTTCTGCTGTATCCCAATCCTTCTGACGCTTTAAACGGAGAGGCTGCAGCTTTAATGATGTGTTACCAAGCTGCTTATGAACAAAGAGTTAAAGGTATTGATTGCTTTTTAGGTTCGTGTCTCCCTGTCATTATGCATCTGTTTTCCATAGTTTTTTACTTAAGTTTCGACTTTAGTGTATTCGTGTCGTGATTAGTGCTAATTAGAATATGGATTCTTCAACAGCAATCTTTTGAGTAGTGTTAAGTCTTTTGTTACATTATAGTGCTACTCTTACACCTGCAGATGTCAACTTAAGTGTGTTTGAGTTGAGAACCTTGCATTCTGTTACATTTTGAGAAGTAAACTTAAGTTGACAAAAACAGAATGGTTATCAAATGGGACCTTAATTTCTGCATAAAAATGAGTTATAATGTGCATTATCGAATACTAAGTTATGTATTTTCTTTAGTTGTTTCCTCGAGAGCATTCCAATGCATCACTAAACATGATTAAACAAGCAAACATTGTATTGTATTTAATTAATGTTACTAAACTCAAGCAGCAATTGTCATTGGACGTGCGTTCGAGCCTCAGGTTTTCCCAAAATTAGATCGTTTCTAATTCCGTTCTGCAATCATGTTGTGTTTGTCTGTTTTTAATTGTTGGTGCAAGCTTGAAGGAGATTGTGAAAAATTGGACTGACTCCTCCAACAAATCTGTCAACCACCTCCTTGCCCAAGGTGCTCCCCCATCTCTCTGTCCTCACTTTGTCTCTAAAATCTTTATCCTTTTCAAATATATTTGTCTAATATTTGAATTTAAAGTTTTGGGTTTTTTTTTCTATTTTAGGCCAAATAAAAAAAATTAGTTTTGGACTGAGGCATGGTTGTATTAATGGATCCCTAATTCCAATAAATTCCAGGTTCTCAATCCTGATTTGATTTTGGTTGTCAAATTTTCTACTTATTAATGCTTCAAAAAATAAATATGTGGTTTGATATGTTGAATTATCCATCATGTGGGTTTGGGATTTTGGAAGTAATATTAACTGGAATTAAACAGGTTACTTAAATGGTGGAGGACAGATTAAGCCACTGTGAGAAAGTGAGGTTCCATGTGTTATAGGTGCTAATTTAGTTTTCTGCATTTGCATCTTTCTGATTGTTCCTTATGCTGAGTCCTACAACACTAACTCTGTTATTGAAGTAACGTTTACAATTACCTTGGGCAGTTCTATACTAAACTGAAGGAACATTGGGATATTCATGCTTTGAAGAATTAATTAGTACTATGAGTGATTCACAAACACTCAACCGAGCAAAAAACTTTGCTTTTCAGCAAAATTGGGAAAGCCTAGAAAAATGACTATTGGGAAACTGTGTGATCATTTTAAGTTAATCATTATTTTTTTATCTTAGAATTCTTTTACTCTGTCATATATATATATATGAATTTCAATACTGAATGTGTGAACTTCACCAGAAAACTCAAGTACATATCTCGAAAGCTTTTTGTCCAGCCCTGAACATTTGCTTTCCACAAGAAGGTACATCTCTCTCTCTCTCTCTCTCTCTCTCTCTCTCTCACACACACACACAGCATGCATGTTTTCTAAGCTGAAATACACTTCTCAGACAGATGTGATTATTGGGTTGGATTTTTCTTATTAACCTTTGTATGATAGTGGCTTTAATTTTTGAGGCAAAATTTTTTATGCAACCTCATTACTTGCAGAATTTGGTTTGGTCAACCTTTAATGCCTTATTGTCGGATTAAGTTAAAGGTAAGGGTCACCAAATCATACTATTTTCGTTGCTATTTATTTCCTTGTTGAACATGATGAAGCGAATCTCTTCATTTGCATTCTTGCATTTAAATTTGCATGTCAGTTTATGGTAAATAATATTCAATTTTCATTGTCTTAGATTCTACTGAGATGCAGTTTTATCATCTATTTATAAAACCCATTTAGACTCAAAAATTTTTTGTGTGGTAAAACATAAACTGAAACATTATGTATATCCAAGATTGAAGAAGAAATTTAAGTTAAATTAGATGGACATCCAATACTAGGGGTGATGTTGTCAAGGTTGTAATCATATCAGTAGTCGATTTTATAAATAAAGTGAAATACAAGACTAACCCATCAGGTATCATAAAATAATGTAGAACTACTTTTTTCTCTCTTGGTACTCAAGATATCATTCCTCACTTGGCCAAAAATGATAGATTATCCCTCATGATGTGCTTTCCATGTTTGAATATTTTGTTCATTCAGTGTCAAGTGTTTTCTTTTTGTGTATAAGAATATCGCAGTAACTCATTGTTTTTTCTTTCCTGTAGGTGGTACAATAGTTCTATCCGATGATGGTCGCTATTTTTCAAAGTCAAAGGATGCTGTGGAATTTCAAGATTGAAAACCGCTGGCTTTCAATCTTTTAAAACAAATTACCTTTGTAAGACCATCTCCAAACCTGGGCTAAAAGTCAAATTACCCCCCAAACACTCTCCAACCCATGTTAAAATTTTAGGCTAAATGCCAAATGTTATTTCTGGGCCAAATACCCCCCCCCCAGCTTTCCCCCTGTGCTAAATGGCAAATGTTTATTGGAATTTAAATTTTTTTTAGATTAAAATGTTCATAAAATTAATTTACAATAATCTACATATTTATTTTTAAAAAAAATTGATTTAAGAAAAAAATTAGCCTAAGTTCATTCTTTAATAATTCCGGGCTAAAATTTTAGGGCAGTAGGGTTGGAGCAGAAAAGATGTTTCTGGGCTAAAAGCCAAATTTTCCGGGTTAAAAAATTTGGCTTTTAGCCCAAGGGTTAGAGATGGTCTAAGGTATCAAAACTATAATTTTTCTATAGCAAATAAATTTTTTTCCTTCACTATGGTAATTTTGTTTAGATTAATTAATGTTACACTGATACTAACTCAAATTTATACACTGCTATAAGATCAATTTGTAATCCCGCAGCAACGCGCGGGCATTACTAGCTAGTACTAACTAACAAGCAAACTCAAATAATTATAATATACTAATATTTTCCAACAAAACTGAACATATTCAAAATCCATAAAGCAATCATTCAAAGAAATCTCTAACTTATTTAGCTGAGCATTGAGCAAGCATCAAGTATCAGAAAGTACCTTAGATTTAGGAACGACGTCGTCAAGGAATGCTGGGATAAAGGAGTACTCCACAGCTGCTACCTCACTGTGGCCGTCTGTGAGACCAAGTTTCAAAAGCAGTCAACTACTCGAATTCCTCGAAAATCCCCCACGATGATTTTATCAATCATCTTTCAAGTGGTGGATCAGATGACGTTGTCATGATTGTAATTAGGGGGATGGGTGAGTTGGGTAAAACAACAACTGCCAAAACCATTTATAACCAAATTCATTGTAAGTTTGAATTCACAAGTTTCCTTGCCAACGTTAGTGACACTACATGTAGACATGGTCTGGTTGATTTGCAAGAAAAACTTGTTTCTGACATTTTGAAATAGAAGTTTCAAATAAGTAGTATTGATGGAGATATCAGTCTGGTAAAACAACAATTTCGACATAAAAAGGGCACTTGTCATCATGGACAACATAGGCGGTGTTGTGGGCGAGCGAAAGGTATAATCGCACAGGACTTTCAAATTTGAAGGGCTCCCAAAAATGTGTCATCTTACATTTATATGTAATAATGCTATATATTAAAAATATACTTTTATTAGCACTTTAAAATCTCATTGTACATTCCTTATAAGTGTAAAAATATTTCTTTTCAATTTATTATATAATAATGTTATATATTCAAGTGAAACCTTAAAGTTAAGAGTTTTTGAAGCTTTTTTCTTTTTCTTATTTGGCTAAATAAATCTCATTGTTAATAGTTAGATTTCATTTTTAATAGTTTAAAGAAATAATACAATAGAGGTCGCACTTGGTGCGATGGTAAGTGTCTTCGCCCATGAGCGGTAGGTCTCGGGTTCGAGACTTGGGAGCAGCCTCTCTATAAATGGGGGTAACGCTAGCCGACATTCACCTCTCCCAGACCTTGCGTAAAGCGGGAGCCTTGTGCACTGGGTACGACCAAAGAAATAATACAATCATCAACCTTCACATCATCATCATATGGTCTATAAATATGGTCCAAAAAGATGATCTCTTTAGCATCACCCTTAATTAATGTTGAATCTCTTTGAACAAATGACGTTATATACAAACTTGCATATCCAGATGGAAAAATGATTGCGGCCTAGAGAACTCTTCATCAGTTCACTAGATATACTATCAATAACTCCCCTTTCGTTCCCTGGAACCTTTAATATTGATATATTACTCCACGTTTGCAAATGATTGATGTATTATAACTTTGTTCGACCTCAGAGTTGCTAACTTGCTTGCAATTATATGAATCCAGAGAACTTGTCCAATGGCCGATTTCATCAATCTTCGTCCAAGAATTTCAGAGATTTGTCATCGTAGTCGATTTCATACAATGGAAAGCGAGTTACGCAGAAGGTCAAGCTAGTAATGCCCTCATCCAGAGCATTAACCATTTCTCGAGCTTTTTTCCTCTTCTTCTTCTTCTTCTTCTTCCGTCGACTTCCCGTAGAGGAGGCTCAAATATGGCATAGAACATGCATCCATCAAATATTGCAGACAGACAGACTACATATGAACATTCCCGTAATCGTTGGAGTGCCTATAATATGCATAAAACAAAGCTACTCTTACTATATAGTAAAACAAAGCTACTCTTACTATGGCTCATCGGGAACACGAATGAATTCCTCAATTCCGGGATTGCATAAAACAAAGCTACTCTTACTATATAGTAAAACAATGCCATTGCAGTGCCTATAATATGCAGTTGTTCCGGGGCTCCGACCTTCTGAATCAAAGAGTGAGGAAAAATAATGTCCGGGACACCAAGAAGAGAGTAGTTGTTGCTATCCTCGTCATGGGTATTACCATCGTCTTTGCATAACTTAAGCAACGAGAATACTTGTTTAGTTTCCTCCACCTCATGCTGCCGCTGCACTACTTATCTCTTGAAAAGGAGGTCGCGAGTAGACCTGTAAACGGGTTGGATTTATTGGATTTGGGTCGGATTGAATCCGACCCGTTAAGCTAACGGGTTATCCAAAATCGACTCGTTAAGCTAACGGGTCATCCGTTTCACCCATTAACACCCATTATTATTATTATTTTTTTTTGATAGAATTTATTTTTTATTGTTAAGACTTTACTAAAATTACTATAACATCTTCAACTAACGGTGTTAACGGGTTGGTCCAAAGAAAAACGGGTTCATCCGTTAACGACTCGACCAGTTAAGCATCCATTCAAATACTAATATTAACGGGTCGGGTCGGTTTAACAAGTCGGGTCCAAAATGCCAGGTCTAGTCACGAGTGGTGAGGCTGTTGTTGGCGGAGTTGGAGAGGTGCTTCAATGCGAAACTCGGATTGGTGATGCAAGCATACCACCATTTAGAGACGCATTTGAATCGCATCAGACTATTGGAGGCAGATTTGATAGGATTTCCACCAACATATCTTGTCCCAATTTTCATTTTGCTGCTGCAACACTACTCGGATTGGTGATGCGATCTCAGAATATACCTAATCTCACATAATCCAAATTTAGACGAGTTACAAAAACAAAGTTAAACAGCAAAAAGCACTGAAATTTAGCATAATTTTAGAGCTCTGCCCCCGGTGAGTTTGCCTTCGCCGGGGTCGATTTTCCGACGAGTTTACCAACATCATGAATTAAATATTACCGTCATCCCTTTGCTAATCGCCATGTCCATATGCAGGCCCTGAATCCAGAAGTTCCCGAATCCGGAAGGCCGGCAGGGCGATCACCAAGAGGAGGATGGTAACAGTAATATTTCTACGGCGGTTCAGTCTCCAGACTCCGGTCAGGTCTGTGAATTGAAGGTTGATGAATTACAGGGGCTATCGTGCTCTTATAGGCTCTGTTACAACTAAAACCCTAGACGACGCCGACGGAAGAAAGGCGTAAGGCGAGGCGGTACTCCTCTCTGTACTCTTTCCCACTTGTATTTACTTTGATCCGAAAGCCCAATGGACCACTTGTCCCAGCCCACATTAATTCGGCCCTTAAATGCTAGTATTTGGTCTCCCGATGCTGTTGCTTGTACAGCGTGATTCTTTCTTTCTACCACATCATTTTTTATGTTGAGCGGTCGAAGCATTCGAAAATACGAAAAATGATCCTTAATTTTCTTCACAATCTAAATTCAAAAAAAATAAAAAAATGAGGACAAAGTGGTAAAAAAACATAACTGTATTAAAAAAAAATAATGTAAATAAAAAGTAGAAACGTGCTTATTCTGTAGTGAAAAATTAATTAAAAATAAATAATAATAAAAATAGAAAAGAAAACGAAAAAGTGAAAAAAGAATAAGAGAAAAATGTTACGTGTTCAACCTCAAAGACGACGAAGAAAAAGCACGAACGAATTAGCAGTTTTCTTCCAAGGATTTTCACGATCTGATTTCAGTTTAATGTGAGATCCAACAATAACTACACACGTACCACCAATATAACTACCCACCTACCATAAATTTTTAGAGATGAATAATCGAAAGGCAACCAATTTTCGTTTTCAACAGTGCTCTTATTAAGAGTTTCTCATCTTTTAGTTCATGTGGATATTACTTGGCATGCATGCACACTCTATATTTCTCACTTTTTTTTTGTTTCCAATTTCGTAATGGAGTGGTGTGTTGTGTGCCTTCTTAGATAGACAATTAGGATTTCATGCTATTATTATTTTTATATCATTTGGATTCGAACTAATTAATTGATAGAAAGAAAATAATTAACTCAACGCATCTTAAGTATGTCAATATGGTGAAGCTCTGAATATAATGTTGAATTTGTATAAAGTAATGAATTAAAGTTGAATTAGAATAAAAAACTAAATAAAAAAATGAGCTAAAAATTTTAATTTGTCAACTTTTCCTAGTTTGGCTAATTCATTGAAGTTTATAGAGTTATTAAAAGTGCTTTCAAACAATATTATAAAAGCATTATGATGATGTTGGTGCAAAAAAAATGATAAGTGCTTTTAAAGGATAAAATTTTAGGAAAATTAATGAAAATAGTTTGAAAACTTTGAGTTTTAACAATAAGGACAAAATAAAAGGTAAAGTGAATAGTAACATATTTGACTTTTTAGTGTAAAAATATAGTTTTTCGTTAAAATGAACAGTACCGCGGACTTTTTGTTAAAACTCCTTAGAATTTAAAAAAAACTAATAAAAAATATTTGAAAAGTTCCTATAATTTTACCACAGATTTTGACGTGCTCCTTTTGAAAACTTCCTATAATTTTACTACAAATTTTGACGTGCTCCTAGTAAAGTGCTAATATACAAAAATGGCTTTTAGAAAAAGAAAAGTGACAAACATTAATGGTGAGTCTGGACCTCATTGTTAATTTAATAAGGGATCCTAATCCATCAAATTAGGAAATCCATACCGTTTAAATTTGATCCAATGACTACAAATAAAGATTCATTTTAGAAGTTATAATCATTTCAGTCGTTGGATCAATTTTTAATTGCATGAATTTTCTAATTTTGTGGATTAAAAGGAAGAGATTATAAGATTATCAATTTCCATAAAAAATACCATTAAAAATAATTTTATTCTCTATCCCACGGTCTTACCCTTCCCCCTTCCCCCTTCCTCTTCCTCCATCTCGATAAATCCAAGAACACCAAAGTACTTTTCCCTCCAACTTCTCCCCCCACATTTCAGACCGCCCTCCGGCTATGAAATTGAAAAAATGGCTTCCAAGTTACAAAAATCCCTTGAAAATGCTCGACCAAGCCCAAAATTTGAATACCTGAAGGGAAAAAACCCCCGATCTGGATTCTGAATTGGAAAATTTAACGGGTGAACTTACGATTTGAGTGCAGGTCTCTTTCTCTCTCCTAAATTTGCTAGTTCTGTGATGGGTTTTTCTACCGGAATATTTTAAAGTGATTTTTTTGTTTGTTTGTTGCAAGTTGAAGAAGGAGATAATATTTTTTATGAATTTCAGAGTTTTATTTATTTCTTCCTCTCTCATAATATTGTTTGTTTTTCACCGTCCTGTGACGTGTGGATGACTTTTCCCAGCCCTATTACTGTCGCTTTTTAGGTCAACACGCCAACACAAACACAACTATTGCTATTTTTTCAGTCTGTGATCAGAACCACTGCTATGCCATAACGGTGGATACCGCCATGACAGCCCACGAAGCCTCCTCTTCGTCCTCCTCCAAGTCCAAACTCTGGAAGTACAACGTATTCTTGAGCTTCAGGGGTGAAGACACGCGCTATGGCTTCACGAGCCACCTCCACGCGGCATTAAAAGCCAGAGGGTACCAGGTCTTTATTGATGAGGACGATCTACCAAGAGGCGAAGAAATAAAAGAGAAACTGTTTTGTGCAATCGAAGAGTCGAGGATCTCTGTCATTATCTTCTCAAAGATGTATGCGGATTCGAGTTGGTGTCTTGACGAGCTGGTGAAGATCATGGAGTGTATAGGCAAACTGGGGCGACATGTTTTACCAATATTCTATCACGTTGATCCTTCCCATGTCAGGAAGCAGGACGGAGATTTAGCCGAGGCATTTCAGAAGCACGAAAAGGACATCCGTGAAGAAAAAGATGACAAGAAACGTGAAGCTAAACAAGAAAGGCTAAAGCTGTGGAGAGAGGCTCTCACAAAAGCTGCAAATTTGTCTGGTCACCATCTTAAAATCGCTTACGATGGGTAATCATTCAGCTGCTTTTCAAAATTTAAGTTGTATTACTCTAATTAACATGCTTAATTAATACACCTTAATCTCTCACGTTGATCCTTCACAGGAGCTGCTAATTTTAGTGAATGACTTAATCTCTCAATTAATTGACATGCTTAATTAACATTTTACATAATCTAAACATTCATTCACATGGTTAATGATTACACCTTAATCTCTCATAAGTAACCTAAACCGTAATTGGAGTTTAATTCATACGCCTAACTTTTAGTTATCAATGAATTCTTTTATTCAAGTTCGTATATATATATATATATATATATATATATATATATATTATGAAGGGAAGAAGGAAAGAACATTGTTTATGTATTGATATCTCCTACCGAGCCTTCATTGAGTCCCACTAATGCTTACGAATTCAATTTTCAGGGGCGAAGCAAAGTTCATTAAAAAAATTATTGACGAGAATATTTGTGAATGGCTCACCAACACTAATGAATTACATGTGGCCAAGCACATAGTTGGAATCAATTCTCGCGTTCAAGATATTATTAGTTATCTTTCAAGTGGTGGATCAAATGATGTTCTCATGGTTGGAATTTCGGGGATGGGTGGATTGGGTAAAACAACAGCTGCCAAAGCCATTTATAACCAAATTCATCCTCAGTTTGAATGCAAAAGTTTCCTTGCCGACGTTCGCGATGCTACAAGTAAACATGATCTGGTTTATTTGCAAAAAAAACTTATTTCTGACATCTTGAAAAAGAAGCATGAAATAAGTTGTGTTGATGAAGGTATCGAGTTGATAAGACAACAATTTTCAAATAGAAAGATACTTGTCATCGTGGACAACATAGATAAAGAGGATCAAACTGGATGCAATAGTTGGAGGTCATGATTGGTTTGGTCTTGGAAGTAGAATTATCATAACGACACGAGATGAACGTTTACTACTAAATGTGAACAAAACATTTCGGGCTAAGGAAATGAATGAAGAAGAAGCTCTTGAGCTATTTAGTTGGCATGCCTTTAAAAAATAGTTGTCCTAATCAAGGATATCTTGAAGTTTCAGAAAAGATTGTTTCTTATTGTGGAGGTTTACCACTAGCGCTTGAAGTTTTAGGATCTCTCTTTTGATTAAAAGATCATTGGCAGAGTGGGAATGTCAATTGGAGAAATTGGGAAGATATCCATATGGAAACATTGTAAATCGACTCAGAACAAGCTTTGAAGGGCTAGATACTTTAGAGAAGGCTATATTTCTTGACGTATCTTGTTTCTTTATTGGAGAGGATAAGGACTATGTCACAAAAATATTAGATCGATGCGGATTTTATGGAACAATAGTAATCAGTGTACTCCGTGAACGATGCCTTATAACTGTTGAGCAGAATAAGTTGAATATGCATGATTTGCTTCGAGAAATGGCCAGAGTAATCATTTCTGAAAAATCTCTTGGTCACCCTGGAAAATGGAGTAGGTTGTGGAACCGTCAAGAGACTGCCGAAGTGTTGAGAAATAAATCTGTAAGTACATTCCCAATAAAATTTTGCATAATGCATCCTGCTTGAAAACATATATATATAGCCCACGTATGTCTATTATACATTAAACAACATTTATGTGTAATTATAATCACTGTAGGTGATTTTTGTAACATCCCACATCGACCAACGGAGAGGGGGTGATGTGCCTTATATGTACATGCCCACCTCCATATAACACGAGGCCTTGGGTACTCACTGACTTCCGATTCCATTGGAACTCCGAAATTAAGTGAGTTCGAACGAGAGCATTCCTAGGATGGGTGACCCATTGGGAAGTTCCTAATGAATAATAATACATTTAAATATATGCAAATAATTCGTTTCTTACACATGAATATAACCTTTTGTTAACAGGGAACTGAAGAAGTTGAAGGACTTGCTCTAAATTTCCCTTATCCTTGGCTTCGAAGCTCTAGCATGCCTAGTTTTAGTACAGAAGCATTTGCCAATATGAAGAAACTGAGATTCCTTCATCTCAAATACGTTCAGCTCAATGGAGAATACAAACATCTTCCCAAAGAGTTAATATGGTTGTGTTGGGAAGGATGCCCTTTAAAGTCCATACCAGATGACTTTTTTGACCAACCAAGACTAGTTGTTTTAGATATGCAGTACAGCAATCTGGTACAAGTTTGGGAAGGTTATAAGGTACGATCAATTACACATGATGATGTTTTGTTCCTATTTGTTTTTGGATTACCTTTATTTATTTATTTATGACATCTTCCTTTTGGTTATTAATTTCAATTTTCCTTTGGTTTTCTATAACAGTTGCTAGAGAGGTTGAAAATCCTGAATCTTAGTCTTTCCCTATCTCTAATTAAATCACCGGACTTTTCACAAGTCCCAAATCTTGAAGAGTTGATACTGGAAAATTGTAGGAGTTTGTCCGAGATTCACCCCTCCATTGGTCAACTTCAAAAACTTTCTTTGGTGAACCTTAAAGAATGCGAAAAGCTTAGTTCTCTTCCAAGGGATTTCTATAAGTTGAAATCTGTTAATGATTACACCTTAATCTCTCATAAGTAACCTAAACCGTAATTGGAGTTTAATTCATACGCCTAACTTTTAGTTATCAATGAATTCTTTTATTCAAGTTCGTATATATATATATATATATATATATATATATATATATATATATATTATATTATGAAGGGAAGAAGGAAAGAACATTGTTTATGTATTGATATCTCCTACCGAGCCTTCATTGAGTCCCACTAATGCTTACGAATTCAATTTTCAGGGGCGAAGCAAAGTTCATTAAAAAAATTATTGACGAGAATATTTGTGAATGGCTCACCAACACTAATGAATTACATGTGGCCAAGCACATAGTTGGAATCAATTCTCTCTCGCGTTCAAGATATTATTAGTTATCTTTCAAGTGGTGGATCAAATGATGTTCTCATGGTTGGAATTTCGGGGATGGGTGGATTGGGTAAAACAACAGCTGCCAAAGCCATTTATAACCAAATTCATCCTCAGTTTGAATGCAAAAGTTTCCTTGCCGACGTTCGCGATGCTACAAGTAAACATGATCTGGTTTATTTGCAAAAAAAACTTATTTCTGACATCTTGAAAAAGAAGCATGAAATAAGTTGTGTTGATGAAGGTATCGAGTTGATAAGACAACAATTTTCAAATAGAAAGATACTTGTCATCGTGGACAACATAGATAAAGAGGATCAACTGGATGCAATAGTTGGAGGTCATGATTGGTTTGGTCTTGGAAGTAGAATTATCATAACGACACGAGATGAACGTTTACTACTAAATGTGAACAAAACATTTCGGGCTAAGGAAATGAATGAAGAAGAAGCTCTTGAGCTATTTAGTTGGCATGCCTTTAAAAATAGTTGTCCTAATCAAGGATATCTTGAAGTTTCAGAAAAGATTGTTTCTTATTGTGGAGGTTTACCACTAGCGCTTGAAGTTTTAGGATCTCTTTTGATTAAAAGATCATTGGCAGAGTGGGAATGTCAATTGGAGAAATTGGGAAGATATCCATATGGAAACATTGTAAATCGACTCAGAACAAGCTTTGAAGGGCTAGATACTTTAGAGAAGGCTATATTTCTTGACGTATCTTGTTTCTTTATTGGAGAGGATAAGGACTATGTCACAAAAATATTAGATCGATGCGGATTTTATGGAACAATAGTAATCAGTGTACTCCGTGAACGATGCCTTATAACTGTTGAGCAGAATAAGTTGAATATGCATGATTTGCTTCGAGAAATGGCCAGAGTAATCATTTCTGAAAAATCTCTTGGTCACCCTGGAAAATGGAGTAGGTTGTGGAACCGTCAAGAGACTGCCGAAGTGTTGAGAAATAAATCTGTAAGTACATTCCCAATAAAATTTTGCATAATGCATCCTGCTTGAAAACATATATATAGCCCACGTATGTCTATTATACATTAAACAACATTTATGTGTAATTATAATCACTGTAGGTGATTTTTGTAACATCCCACATCGACCAACGGAGAGGGGGTGATGTGCCTTATATGTACATGCCCACCTCCATATAACACGAGGCCTTGGGTACTCACTGACTTCCGATTCCATTGGAACTCCGAAATTAAGTGAGTTCGAACGAGAGCATTCCTAGGATGGGTGACCCATTGGGAAGTTCCTAATGAATAATAATACATTTAAATATATGCAAATAATTCGTTTCTTACACATGAATATAACCTTTTGTTAACAGGGAACTGAAGAAGTTGAAGGACTTGCTCTAAATTTCCCTTATCCTTGGCTTCGAAGCTCTAGCATGCCTAGTTTTAGTACAGAAGCATTTGCCAATATGAAGAAACTGAGATTCCTTCATCTCAAATACGTTCAGCTCAATGGAGAATACACAAACATCTTCCCAAAGAGTTAATATGGTTGTGTTGGGAAGGATGCCCTTTAAAGTCCATACCAGATGACTTTTTTGACCAACCAAGACTAGTTGTTTTAGATATGCAGTACAGCAATCTGGTACAAGTTTGGGAAGGTTATAAGTTACGATCAATTACACATGATGATGTTTTGTTCCTATTTGTTTTTGGATTACCTTTATTTATTTATTTTATGACATCTTCCTTTTGGTTATTAATTTCAATTTTCCTTTGGTTTTCTATAACAGTTGCTAGAGAGGTTGAAAATCCTGAATCTTAGTCTTTCCCTATCTCTAATTAAATCACCGGACTTTTCACAAGTCCCAAATCTTGAAGAGTTGATACTGGAAAATTGTAGGAGTTTGTCCGAGATTCACCCCTCCATTGGTCAACTTCAAAAACTTTCTTTGGTGAACCTTAAAGAATGCGAAAAGCTTAGTTCTCTTCCAAGGGATTTCTATAAGTTGAAATCTGTTAATGATTACACCTTAATCTCTCATAAGTAACCTAAACCGTAATTGGAGTTTAATTCATACGCCTAACTTTTAGTTATCAATGAATTCTTTTATTCAAGTTCGTATATATATATATATATATATATATATATATATATATATATATATTATGAAGGGAAGAAGGAAAGAACATTGTTTATGTATTGATATCTCCTACCGAGCCTTCATTGAGTCCCACTAATGCTTACGAATTCAATTTTCAGGGGCGAAGCAAAGTTCATTAAAAAAATTATTGACGAGAATATTTGTGAATGGCTCACCAACACTAATGAATTACATGTGGCCAAGCACATAGTTGGAATCAATTCTCGCGTTCAAGATATTATTAGTTATCTTTCAAGTGGTGGATCAAATGATGTTCTCATGGTTGGAATTTCGGGGATGGGTGGATTGGGTAAAACAACAGCTGCCAAAGCCATTTATAACCAAATTCATCCTCAGTTTGAATGCAAAAGTTTCCTTGCCGACGTTCGCGATGCTACAAGTAAACATGATCTGGTTTATTTGCAAAAAAAAACTTATTTCTGACATCTTGAAAAAGAAGCATGAAATAAGTTGTGTTGATGAAGGTATCGAGTTGATAAGACAACAATTTTCAAATAGAAAGATACTTGTCATCGTGGACAACATAGATAAAGAGGATCAACTGGATGCAATAGTTGGAGGTCATGATTGGTTTGGTCTTGGAAGTAGAATTATCATAACGACACGAGATGAACGTTTACTACTAAATGTGAACAAAACATTTCGGGCTAAGGAAATGAATGAAGAAGAAGCTCTTGAGCTATTTAGTTGGCATGCCTTTAAAAAATAGTTGTCCTAATCAAGGATATCTTGAAGTTTCAGAAAAGATTGTTTCTTATTGTGGAGGTTTACCACTAGCGCTTGAAGTTTTAGGATCTCTTTTGATTAAAAGATCATTGGCAGAGTGGGAATGTCAATTGGAGAAATTGGGAAGATATCCATATGGAAACATTGTAAATCGACTCAGAACAAGCTTTGAAGGGCTAGATACTTTAGAGAAGGCTATATTTCTTGACGTATCTTGTTTCTTTATTGGAGAGGATAAGGACTATGTCACAAAAATATTAGATCGATGCGGATTTTATGGAACAATAGTAATCAGTGTACTCCGTGAACGATGCCTTATAACTGTTGAGCAGAATAAGTTGAATATGCATGATTTGCTTCGAGAAATGGCCAGAGTAATCATTTCTGAAAAATCTCTTGGTCACCCTGGAAAATGGAGTAGGTTGTGGAACCGTCAAGAGACTGCCGAAGTGTTGAGAAATAAATCTGTAAGTACATTCCCAATAAAATTTTGCATAATGCATCCTGCTTGAAAACATATATATAGCCCACGTATGTCTATTATACATTAAACAACATTTATGTGTAATTATAATCACTGTAGGTGATTTTTTGTAACATCCCACAATCGACCAACGGAGAGGGGGTGATGTGCCTTATATGTACATGCCCACCTCCATATAACACGAGGCCTTGGGTACTCACTGACTTCCGATTCCATTGGAACTCCGAAATTAAGTGAGTTCGAACGAGAGCATTCCTAGGATGGGTGACCCATTGGGAAGTTCCTAATGAATAATAATACATTTAAATATATGCAAATAATTCGTTTCTTACACATGAATATAACCTTTTGTTAACAGGGAACTGAAGAAGTTGAAGGACTTGCTCTAAATTTCCCTTATCCTTGGCTTCGAAGCTCTAGCATGCCTAGTTTTAGTACAGAAGCATTTGCCAATATGAAGAAACTGAGATTCCTTCATCTCAAATACGTTCAGCTCAATGGAGAATACAAACATCTTCCCAAAGAGTTAATATGGTTGTGTTGGGAAGGATGCCCTTTAAAGTCCATACCAGATGACTTTTTTGACCAACCAAGACTAGTTGTTTTAGATATGCAGTACAGCAATCTGGTACAAGTTTGGGAAGGTTATAAGTTACGATCAATTACACATGATGATGTTTTGTTCCTATTTGTTTTTGGATTACCTTTATTTATTTATTTATGACATCTTCCTTTTGGTTATTAATTTCAATTTTCCTTTGGTTTTCTATAACAGTTGCTAGAGAGGTTGAAAATCCTGAATCTTAGTCTTTCCCTATCTCTAATTAAATCACCGGACTTTTCACAAGTCCCAAATCTTGAAGAGTTGATACTGGAAAATTGTAGGAGTTTGTCCGAGATTCACCCCTCCATTGGTCAACTTCAAAAACTTTCTTTGGTGAACCTTAAAGAATGCGAAAAGCTTAGTTCTCTTCCAAGGGATTTCTATAAGTTGAAATCTGTTGAGACTCTTCTTCTTAGTTACTGTTTCGAATTCAGAGAAGTGCATGAGGATTTAGGGGAGATGAAATCATTGAGAATACTTGAAGCAAAGCATACAGCCATAAGACAAATACCATCTTCCACAGTTAGATTGAAGAATCTCACTCTTTTATCCCTAAAAGGTGTGAAATTAGCACATGATGCAATCCCTCAGGATCTTGGGAGTCTAATTTCTTTACAAGTTTTGGATCTTGGAGGGAATAATTTTCATACCCTACCCAGCCTAAGTGGTCTTACAAAGCTTGAAACATTGAGGATAAATGACTGCTTTAATCTTCGTACAATCCCTGATTTACCAACAAATTTGAAATTTCTGTATGCCGATGATTGCCCTGCATTGGAAACAATGCCCAATTTTTCGGAAATGTCAAATATGACAGAGTTGAAGGTAAGTGATTCGCCCAAACTCATTGAGGTTCCAAGCTTGGATAAGTCATTAAAGTTCATGACATTGATTGATATGAGTAACTGCACCAATCTCACAGCTGATTTTGGGAAGAACATCCTACAGGTATCTCACTCTCTATCTCTCATTGCCTTCCTATCGTGCACATGCACACACAAACACACGTTTACATGTATACGTATGTATGTATGTATGTATGTATGTATGTATGTATGTATGTATGTATGTATATGACACTTGCATTGTATATGTAGGGATGGACTTCGTGCGGATTTGGTGGCATTTTACTCTATGGGAATTTTGTACCTGATTGGTTTGAGTTTGTCAATGATGACAATAAAGTCAGCATTGTTATTCCCCCGAATGATGATCGTACTTTTGAAGGGCTGACTATGTGCTTCTTGCACAAATATTCACTTGAAAGTAATTTTGTATTTGGCATTACTATTATAAATAATACCAAGCGTACTAAGTTGCAGGCTTACTTAGGCAGCGGATATTGGGATAAGCCTTCAAACTATAATCTTTGGCACATACTTTGGCAAGGACAACTATCGAACGATAAGCTCAAATTGCAAAGTGGGGATAAAGTTGAAGTTCAACTTTCAGCAAACTGTTATGATACGTCATCAATGAGAACAATGGTTAATCTAGTGTGGAACAAACCTATGAAGGAAAATACGCATGATTTGGACCAAGCTAGTTATGTTTTTGACCAACATCCAGCTCGGTTCTATGGGGAGTCATCTGATAATTATGAGCCATCTAATGATTATCATCTCAGAAATTACATTGGTAAGTACTATAGCAGTGCATGATCATGGTCCTCTCAGCAAGCATTCACATTTTTTCTTGTCTTCTAATAGTTTTCCTGCAGTCAGTGACATTGGAGTTCTAAAGGACGAATATCTTCTTACGTGCCTTTCTTTGTCTCGTCATCATTGGAAGCCACAAGGTCCGGCAGTCAGTGACAGAGGAGATCAGATATCCGACCCAATGGACGAAGATTCTCTTACGCGCCTCTCTTTGGCTCTTGATTATTCATCATCTACTTGTTCAGGTAACTTTCAGCTGAACACCTGAGTCTCTTGGCCTTTACCATTTGGAGATAGTGAGACTATTAAGAGTTGAATAGATTGTAGGGCTGTTCATGTTAAGATAAAAATATCCTCCGCAAGACTAAGATATGATGGATTTTTTCAATTACATGGGTAGTACTATAACAGTGCATGATCATGATCCTCTCAACCTTGCGCATTCACGTTTTTCCTTGCCTCCTGGTATTTTTCATGCAGGTTGTCGTATTCAACCTCAAACTCGTCCTGAGAATCTCCCAATACTCTTCCAGCCACAGGGTCCGGCGGTCAGTGACAGAGGAGATCAAATATCTGACCCAATGGACGAAGATCTTCTTACGCGCCTTTCTCGGTCTCTTGATCATTGGAAGCCACAGGGTCCAGCAGTTAGTGACAAAGGAGATCAGATATCCGCCCCAATGGACGAAGATCTTCTTACGCATCTTTCTTTATCTATTCATCATTGGAAGCCACAAGGTCCGACAGTCAGTGATATAGGAGGTCAGATATCCGACCCAATGGACGAAGATCTTCTTACGCTCCTCTCTTTGTCTCTTGATTATTCATCATCTACTTGTTCATGTAACATTAAGTCGGACACCTGAGTCTCTTGGCCTTTACCATTTGGAGATAGTGAGACTGAGAGTTGAATAAATTGTAGGGCTGTTCATGTTAAGTTAAAAAATCTCCTCCGCAAGACTAAGAAATGATGGATTTCTCAATAGAAAATCTCCGAAATTTTCTCCACTTTCAAACATTTTGCCATCATTTGCAATCCGACTCGTGTTCTGAAGCTCAATTTGCAAGGCAGTGTTGAAGTTGAAGTTGATCTAATTTTGGCAGGATCTTATATAATTATGTTTCATTGATTAGAACAAGGGTTACTCTAGTATGGGACAAACCTATGAAGGAAAATATTCAAGATTTTGGACCAAGTGAGTTATGTTTTTGACCTACATCCAGTTCGTCAAACGCCTCTTTTGTTTTTCGCTTTCCCAGTTCGATAATGAAGACAAGTCCATATTTCAAACTTCTTTCAGGCTCCCATGATTGTTTTCAATTAGTTGCTTTGAATTTTGAAGATATATTGCATCTAGAAACATTTCAACATTACAACAATCAATATAAGACATTCATCAAAATATTTGACAAATATGACTCAGAATTCGCACAAATACATGCCCTGCTTCCACCACGTATTTCAGGAATTCACTTTTAAGGTTAGAAAATCCACGAAAGCTTTTCATTAATCTCGACTTGCCCTGACATTTTTGGCATAAGGTTTGAATTATCTTTTCCACTACCTTTGCAGTCGATAAACTCGTTTGAATACTAAACTGAACATATTCAAAATCCAAAAAGTGATCAATCAAAGAAATCTCTAACTTATTTAGCCGAGCATTGAGCAAGCATCAAGTATCAGAAAGTACCTTAGTTCCTGGAACGACGTCGTCAGGAGTACTCCACAGCTGCTACCTCACTGTGGCCGTCCGTGAGTCCAAGTTTCAAAAGCGGTCGACTACTCGAATTCCTCGAAAATCCTCCACGATGATTTTATCAATCATCTTTCAAGTGGTGGATCAAATGACGTTGTCATGATTGTAATTTGGGGGATGAGCGAGTTGGGTAAAACAACAGCTGCCAAAACCATTTATAATCAAATTCATTTTAAGTTTGAATTCAAAAGTTTCCTTGCCAACGTTTGCGACACTACGTGTAAACATGGTCTGGTTGATTTGCAAGAAAAACTTGTTTCTGACATATGGCATAGAACCTGCATCCATCGACTTCCAGTAGAGGAGGCTTAAATATGTCATAGAACCTGCATCCATCAAATGTTTGCAGACAGACAGATTACATATGAACATTCCCGTAAACAACAGGAAGAAATTAAAAAGGAAGCTTTCGTGAAAACCAAAAAAAAAAAAACAGCTCAAAAGTTAATGTAAACAGCAACTTACTGTTTACAGGGACATGCACCAAACTCTGCCCGGAGGCCCTCCATCACCTTCTTGATTCTATGGGAAACATCAGCCGGTTGAATGGCCGAAACGGAATATGTGTACCGCCTCCTGCAGCTTTCCCTCTTCCCGTCTACCACCACCATCGCATCTTCATCTTTGTCTGAGCAATTATTCTCCATGCTCTCAGGCTTGTGGTTGCGTCCCATGACAGAAACTCTGCTATTCACATAACCAACAAACTCACCTAATGTTTCAATGGGAATATACGTAAGCTTTGTAGTACAAAGATTAAAGCAAACTGAGCGTTCATCACTGTGAACCATAAGAAACTCATCACTCCACAATGCCACAGGCCTAGAAGAAAATATGTGATATGTTTGTGGGAACACCGTTAGAGTCGTCATCCGTCACCCACATTTCATATAAGTCAGGTTTAGGATATCTATAATTCTGATGATTCTCAAAGAAAAGGGCAAACAGGGCAACTGATTCATTCCGCACAATATGCTTCAAATCAAGGTCACGCACCAGGGGTAATCGTTGGAGCTTTAGATGGTTCGGCATACCATGAAATACCTAACGCATCCACTAAGTCTTGCTCATTTAACCTCCATGACATTTTACATTGTCCATCCGCATCCACTAATATTATTTCGGCACACAGATTCACCCTAGATAACCATTGCTATATACTGATATTTCCTTATTTTTTCCTTGTTAAGGACCTCAAAACCCGGAAGACGCTTTTCCGCGGGAGATGTGAGAATGGATTGTATCCATTTCCTGGTGGCGGTGGATTGTCCAACTATCCTATTTCAGTGTGTGTCGGTGTTAGAGTCTCACCCCAGAAATGGCATTTACGTCTTGGTCATCCTGCTTCGTCAATTATTAAATTTTTGATTGCAAATAACCAAGTACCATCATCTGGTACAAGTACTGTAACGTTTTGTGACTCTTGTCCATTAGGCAAAAGCACTAAACTTCCCTTTACCAAGTCTGTGTCCGTGTCTTATTGTCCATTAGAACTTTTGCATTCAGATGTTTGGAGTTCACCTATTATTTCTAATGAAGGTTTTCGTTATTACGTGTTGTTTGTGGATGACTACTCACGATATTCGTGGATCTTTCCCATGAAAAATAAATCTGAAGTATTTGGAATTTTTGTGACATTTAAAACACATGTTGAAAAAATGTTTAACAAATCTATTAAAGCTCTTCAATGTGATGAAGGTGGTGAATACATGAGTCGCGATTTCAAAACTTTTCTTGCTACACATGGGATTTCCCAACGTTTTTCGTGTCCAAAACATCCTGAACAAAATGGAATTGCCGAGCGAAAGCATCGTCATATAGTTGAAACTAGTGTTACAATGCTTTCTCATGCTCATATGCCTCAAACATTTTGGTTCGATGCATGTTCCACAGCTGTTTATATTATAAACAGGCTTCCAACAAAGGTTTTATCTAACGTGTCTCCCTATGAAAAAGTGTTTCAAAAGAATCCAAAATATGAGGCATTTAAAGTGTTTGGTTCAAAATGTTTTCCACTGTTGACTCCGTATACACGGCATAAACTTCAACCAAAGTCCAAACCATGTGTTTTCTTAGGATATTCACTGAATCATGAAGGATACAAGTGCTTGGACTTATCCACGAGACGCATCTACGTGTCTCGCCATGTTTTATTTGATGAGGATTCCTTTCCTTTCAAGGAACTTGCATCTCCCAAGGAAGCCGTCACTATCACAGGTACATCGTTGACCCCTGATTTGATTTTAACCACTACACCCTCATCACCCTTAGTACCATCCATATCTTCACCAAATCGTGTCGAGTCTCATCCTAGCCTCAACCACCAACCTGAGTCAAACTTGGTGTCTACTGATCAGCCGCATATCACGCCACCTTTTCCTCCCCAACAACCTGTTTCAAATTTGGACCTTACTCCTCATCCACCTATCCCTACCATCCCGTGTTTAAATAGGACACCTCAACCTAGTTCCACATTAGGTCCCACCGATGAGCAAGACTTGGTTCACCTTCCATCTGTACAAAGTTCTCAGAATCCTTCTCATTCAACAACTTTATCTACCACCTCATCTTCCATACGAGAGCCTACTCTCCCCCACTCCATAACAACAAGGTCAAAATCTGGGATTCAAAAGCCAAATCCAAAATATGCTTTGCATGCAATCGCTGACTCCAAGTTTGTTGAGCCGTCTTGTTTTAGTCAGGCTATCAAATATCCAGAATGGAGGGCAGCAATGGCACAAGAGTTCAGTGCTTTGCAAAGGTGTGGAACGTGGACGCTTGTTCCATATTGTCCTGGGATGAACCTGCTGCCAAACAAATGGGTGTTTAAAATCAAGAGACGTGCCGATGGTTCTCTCGAACGTCACAAGGCTCGACTTGTGGCTAACGGTTACCATCAGCAATCCGGAGTGGATTATAATGAAACGTTTAGTCCGGTCGTGAAACACAGCACCATTCGGCTTGTTTTGAGTCTTGCAGTGTCGAAGAAGTGGACGGTGCGACAGTTGGATGTACAGAATGCATTCTTGCATGGCTATTTGGATGAGGCTGTCTACATGAAACAGCCGCCCGGTTTTCTTGATCAGCAGTATCCCCATTATGTGTGTAAATTGCAGAGAAGTTTGTATGGATTAAAACAGGCTCCCAGAGCCTGGTTTCGAAGATTCTCGGATTATCTGCTTCAACTTGGGTTTGAAGAATCATTATGTGATTATTCATTGTTCGTGTTTAATCAACGAGGTGTTTACTTGATCTTACTTATCTATGTGGATGACATTCTTCTTACAGGCAATAATGATCAACAAATGCAATGGTTGATAGAGAAGCTCGGCACTTTGTTTTCTATGAAGGACTTAGGTCCCTTAAGTTATTTTTTGGGTGTCGAGGTTACTTATTCTGGGGAGAATATGCATCTTACACAATCCAAGTATGCATTGGATCTGCTGGAGCGCACCAAGTTTACTGCTGTCAAACCAGTATCCACTCCTGTACCTGCGGGACACAAGATCAGTCAGTAGTATGATGGTGAACCTTATTCTAATCCAGAACAATATCGAACGGTTGTTGGAGCGCTCCAATACTTGACGATCACCAGACCCGATCTTTCTTATGCTGTGAACCAGGTTTGCCAGTTCATGCATATGCCTCGGACTACACATTGGATGGTGGTTAAGAGGATTTTGCGGTATTTAAAGGCCACACATGATCACGGTCTTGTCTACAAACCTGGTGATGTTCGGTTAAATGCCTTCTCTGATGCTGATTATGCGGGAAATCCAGACACACGTCATTCAACTGGTGGCTTCTGTATCTATTTGGGCACGAATTTGATTTCCTGGAGTTCAAAGAAACAGAAGACTGTCTCAAGATCTAGCACAGAGGCTGAGTATAGGCAGCTTGCTTATACTGCAGCTGAGTTGTCATGGTTAGGAAGTTTGTTTCGTGATCTACATCTCTATCTTCCACGACCGCATATATGGTGTGATAATGTTTCGTCCATTGCTTTGGCTTCCAATCCAGTTTTTCATGCCCGGACGAAACACTTGGAAGTGGACTACCATTATGTACGAGAGAAGGTGGTCCGTGGACAGCTTTTGGTTCATTTTATTTGTTCCCAAGACCAGATTGCCGATTTGTTCACCAAGGGTCTTTCCTCTTCACGCTTCAACTTGTTAGTTTCCAAGCTTCCCGTCGTTGCTCGACCTGTCAGCTTGCGGGGGGATGTTAGACCAAGTCAATCTTATCCCAAACTAATCTCTGCAACAAACTCTTCATAGGATAAGATTGCTAGGTCCGGGTTTCAGTTTTGAATAATCCAAAGATAAGTTGTTATGATTTTGTATTTTTGAATTCAAAGTTATCCGTGTAAATAGGGTATTCAAAACCCTACTTGTAATCTGAAAGTATTGTATAAATACACTGCTACCCATCGTTATATGGGTGTGCAATCAAAAGCTGAAAACCCTAGTGCTCTAAGTTTTACAGCGACTTGTATCTAAATAAATGATGGCCTTTCTGGACCTTTTGAATATGGCCTTTCTGGACCTTTTGAATAAAAGAGTGAGGAAAAATGATGTCCTGGACACCAACAAGAGAGCAGCTACCGCTTTCCTCGTCACCGATATTATCATCGTCTTTGCATAACTTAAGCAACGTCCTTGCATAACTTAAGCAACAAGAATACTTGTTCAGTTTCCTCCTCCTCCTCCTCCTCATGCTGCCGCTGCACTACTATTGCTTGAAAAAGAGGTTGCGAGTGGTGAGGTGGTTGTTGGCGGAGTTGGAGAGGTGCTTCAATTCAAAACTCGGATTGGTGAAGAGAGCATACCACCATTTAGAGAGTTTTGGGAGGCAATTTGATAGGATGGTAATAGTAATCTTTCTGCATGGAATTGGAAGCTCCAGCCTCCAGATTCCAGTCAGAAGAAAGGTCTGCGAATTGAAGGTTGATGAATTACTGGGGTCATTGTGCTCGTTTTTATAGGCTCTGTTACAACTAAAACCCTAGACAGAAGAAAGGCCTTCTATTTACTTTCACCCGAAAGCTCAATGGACAACTTTATCCCAGCCCACACTTATTCGGCCCTTAAATTCAAATGTTGGCTCTCCCGAATCGATGCCTGTCGCTTGTGCAACTTATCCTATGTCGGGGTTTTCACTTCAAACCCGACATAAAATGAGAAACAAAAATAAAACATCGAGAAGACAAAAGAGGATACCAGAGATACTGAGAAGATTATACTAGTTTGTTGTATTTTTTAATATTTTGAATTTTGATTGTGAAGAAAGCAAAATGATATTTTTCATATTTCGAAAAAGTTTTATATATACTAGTCTTGTACCGCTTGTTTACACGTGTTGTAGTTGATTTTTTTTTTGTTTAATTGTATTTTAAGTTTTACTTATTTTGGATATTATTGTTTGTTTTTGAAATATATTTTGGAAAATAATCAACTTAGCCATCCAACCCCACGACTTGGATTATTTCTCTAAATTTTTTGCTTTGAAATATTGATGGAGAAGGTAACTTATATGAAAACTTCACATTTTTTGCCTTTTTCCTCATTATATCATTTTTTAATAGAGATATGTTCGTCATATGAATCTCATCTCTATTATAGAGATGATACAAATGATGATACAATTAGATGAATATATCAATACAAGAAGGGATATGTAGATCTTATTTACTTCTCACAAATCATTTGTTAATTTATGTCTTATCAATTCATTCAATTCGATGAACGTAAATTAAGATAAGATGACATTTAAACAGTAAAAAAGAGAAAATTTTCCACTATCTATATACTAACACGTGGTGTGTTAAGAGCACAACCAAAAATTTCTTCCCCTTGAGCGACGGTGACGACACCAACCATCCCCTCCTTCACTAATCACCACCGTTTCCCCACTCGGACGTGCGACCCCGACGCCGTGAATCCGCCAAACCCCTTCTCGACTGAAACTCACCAAATCATGATTCCCTTATCTTCTCCTTGATTTGATTTGGAATTTTAAGCTGGTTTCTCTCTCACTCTTTCCTGAATTCAAAACCCTAGAGGCTTGAAGTCTAGAACAAAACCGCAAACGCCATCTCCTTCCACCTTAGGTTCAGATTCAGTGGAGAAGAAGACCTCCCAACAACTCAAGGTAAAAAGTAAAAACTTGTTTCTCCACTGTCATAAAAAATTGCACCTTTTTTGTTTTTTTGAATTGTTTGTTTCCCAGATATCCTATATGATTTGTTCTAAACTACCCTGCACTTTGGGATTGTTTTTTTTTTAATGAATAATTTTGGGAGATCGATGAAATCAAAGGCATAAGACTTGTGTTTCGGTATTTCAGTATCATCTGTTCGGCAACACAAGTTACACAACCACAACCACGGCTATTGTTTTAGTCGTGATCTGAACCACTGCAGTGTCATAACAGTGGATACCGCCAGGACAGCCCACGAAGCCTCCTCTTCATCCTCCTCCAAGTCAAAACTTTGGAACTACAACGTCTTCTTGAGCTTCAGAGGCAAAGACACGCGCAAGGGCTTAAAAGACAGGGGATACCAGACTTTTATGGATGACAACGATCTCAAAAGAGGAAAAGAAATGAAAGAGGAACTGTTACTGGCAATCGAAGAGTTGATGCGCACTCGAGTTGGTGTCTTGACGAGCTAGTGAAGATCATGGTGATTACCAAAGGGATGACGCTAATATTTAATTCTCTAGATCGCCCATCTCTCTAAATATATATATATTCGTTCAAAACTCTTTAGATATACATATAGGTAGCTAAATGAAATAAAAGGGCGAAAACTCTTGAACCGAATTTCCAATTGAAAGGTTAATCTATTGTTTGAAGAATCTTGATTTTGATTCGTTTGGTTTAATTTCTTTTGGGTGTTGCTGTTTTTGTATTCCTGGGGCTGGTGGAGCAGTCTTCGAGGCAAGATATTGAGGTACCTGATGAACAAGAGTGGTTGATTTTATTCATTTTAAAAATCACATCGTCTATGAATTCTCCATACAAATGAAATAGAGAATTCATATGCGATGCGACTTTAAAAAGGAATAAAATATGACCAAGAGAGTACCACCCTTGATCATCCGGTGCTGAATACCCTGCTCCGAAAACTACCAGACCAGCCCCTTGGAACACAAAAACACAATAACCAAAAGAAATTAAATCAATCGAACTTCTGCTGGACAGTATTACCAAACAAATCAAAATCAAAATTCTCCAAACAATAGATTAACCCTTCAATTGGAAATTCGACATTCATTGGATCAATTGGAAAGCCATTGTTACATAAGGTATCCATCTCAAGGGTTCAAAGTTCAAACGAATGTCATTCTCATAAGTAAGGTTTTCGCCCTTCTATTTCATTTAGCTACATATATGTATATCTAGAGATATTTGAACAGATAAAAAATATATATCTAGAGAATTAAATATTACCTTCATCCCTTTTGCAATTACCCTGTCCATATGCAGGCCCTGAAATCCATAAGGATTCATCATTTTGCAATTATCCTGTCCATATGCAGGCCCCGGAATCCATAAGGATTGTAATTACCCTGTCCATATGCGCCCTGAATCCATAAGGACATATGGGAGGGGAGGATGGTAATAGTAATATTTCTACGGCGGCTCCAGCCTCTGAATTGAAGGTTGATGAATTACTGGGGCTATCGTGCTGCTTTTATAGGCTTCGTTACAACTAAAACCCTAGACGACGCCGACAGAAGAAAGGCCTTGTATTTACTTTCACCGGAAAATCCAATGGACAACTTATCCCAGCCCACACTAATTCGGCCCTTAAATTCAAATGTTGGCTCTCCAGATGCTGTTGTTTGTACAACTTATCCTATTTCGATATTTTTTACTGCAGTAGTCTTGCACTTAATCAAATGTTGGGTCTCCCGAGCTCAGTCTATGAGTAGAATGAATAAGTAAGTGGTAACACTGAACACACTCTTGATTTCTGTATTCAAGCGATCAAGGCCAAATGAGGTTTAAAACAAGGCTAGTTACCTTGAAAACAAGGTTGCTAGTGACTTCAAAAATGAAGTTCGGTTTTTACTGCGCCGAACACTAATTGGGAACTCTCTCACTTGGCCGATAAGGCTTACAAGATAACCTCTATAAACATGGACTCAATGACTACTCTTTGGAAGAGATTTAATGACGAACTTGAAGTAGCGCTGCGTTGAAGTGATTTGAATGTTGTAGGACGACTTGTATTTATTTATGGGGACATGTAGGCACTGGACGATATTTTGATTTTAATTGTATTATGCCTCTAGCCTTACTCATCCAAACAGTCACCAATCCACGAGCACCACTTCGTGTAATCTGGATTCTCCTTGGATCCTCTTTGTGAAGATCATTGAGATTCATGAATCGTGTCCGTTCATCGTGTATCATGTGGTTAGAAATTATTTTATTTAAAATTGAACTTAAACAGTATCTCAAAAAAAAAAACAAACAAAAAAAAAACACTGATATGTACGATGAACAGACACAATTTACAGATTCTTGGGATCCTCACAAAGAGGATCCGAATAGGATCCTGTTGGCACTTCGTGCACCATCGTGATTATGAGAGTTTTAACAAAAAAACACATGCGATACTGTTCACTTTAACGAAAAATCATATTTTTACATTAAAAAGTCAAACATGATTCTATTCATTTTTACCATTTATTTTGTCCTTATCGTTAAAACTCAAAGTTTTCAAGCTATTTTCATTAGTTTTCCTCCTGATTATTTGTCCTTTATGAAGAATTATGAAGAATTGTTGCAATTGACTACGCATAGTCATATACTTTTATTCCATGCATGCGACACACAAAGACGGAACTGATCGCATTTTTCATGCTCATATACTCTTTCTTCCTCGAGTTTTCACTGGGTCGTGCTCATCTTCGTCATCCTTTCCAGCCGCTTCCTGCAATATAATTGTATCTTTTTCACTTCAAAACCTGACATAAAACGGGAAACAAAAATAACACACCGAGAATACAAAAGAGGATATCAGAGATACTGAGAAGATTCTACTAGTTTGTTGTATTTTTTAAATATTTTGAATTTTCATTGTGAAGAAAACAAAAGAACATTTTTGATATTTCGAAAAGTTTTATATATACTAGATGCCACATGCTTATAAGTGTGGCAATTGGCTTTTTTCTGTTGTTTTAATATTATTTTAAATTTTACTTATTTTGGATATTATTGTTTGTTATTGAAATATATTTTGAAAAATAATCAACTTAACCACTGACCCCCACGGCATGGATTTTTTCTCTAAATTTTTTGCTTTGGAATATGAATGGGAGAGGTAACTTATACGAAAACATCATCCAATTTACCTTTTTCCTATCTCTCTAGTATGGATAGGTGCGTCAAGACATGTGAGTTTCATTTATATAAAGAGATAATACAAATGATGAATCACTATATAGATATATCAATGTAAGAAGGGGTGTGTGGAATCCATTTCCTTCTAACATATCTTTTATTAATTTATGTCTTTTGATCGTCATCAATCATTTCGATTTGACGAGAAGTAAATTAATAAAGTAAATCAAATGTAAAAAATGATAAAACTTTTCACCACCTATATAATTAATAACACATTTATATCCCTTGTGTTAGGATTATAACCAAAAATTTCTCCCCCTTGACGGTCACGACACCAACCATCCCCTCCTTCGCGAATCACCACCTTTTCCCCATTCCGACATGCGACCCCGACGCCGTGAATCGGCCAAACCCCTTCTGGACTGAAACTTACCAAACCTTGATTCCCTGATCTTCTCTTTGATTTGATTTGGAATTTTAAGTTGGTTTCTCTCTCACTCTTTACTGAATTCAAAACCCTAGAGGCTCCAAGTCTAGAATAAAACCGCAAACGCCACCTCATTCTGCCCTGACTCATCAGACCGACCAAAGGTTCAGATTCAATGGAGACGAACACCTCTCAACCACTCAAGGTAAAAAGTAAAAACCTTTTCTCCACCTTCATACAAATTGCAGTTTTTTTTTTTCCCTTTCTTTTTTAATTGTTTCTTATTGATAAGATTAGAAATGAGGATATAAATTAAAAGTAACTGAAATTGAAGGAAAAATAAAAGAAAATCGGTTACAGAGGTTTGGACATGTGAAACGAAGCTACTAAGGTTAAAAGATGCGATTCGGGACATGTGTTCAGGATCGAAGTGGTAGAGGAAGATCTAGAATGATTTTGGAAGAGACTCTAAGAAAAGATTTAGAGTAATAGGATCTAATAGAAGAAGTGACATATGACCGAGCGCAATGACGATCTAGCATTCATATAGCCGACCCAAAAAAAAGCTTTGTTATTGTTGTTGTTTGTTTCCCAATATATTACATGACTTGTTAAATTACCCAGCAACACTCTTTGGGATTGTCTTTTTGTTTTTTTAATGAATGATTTTGGTAGAATCATGAAATCGAACGCCTAAGATTACCCAGCAACACTCTTAGGGATTATGTTTATGATTTTTGCTTTTAAAGTTTTTTGGCTAATAAGAATGTATTTCTCTCTTCTTTTCTGTATATGCAAGGATGATGGGCACAGCTGGGCCATGCTGCAGGACCGAATCAGTAATTTACCACCCGAAATCCTTGTCTGTATAGTATCACTCTTGCCGCTAAAGGAAGCAGCAGCTACTAGTATTCTTTCAAGGCGATGGCGCCATGTATGGGCATCTACTACGACTCTCAGTTTTGACGCTGTTAACTTTGATGTTGGCGATGGTACTATCACCACTACTATACAACGCTTCTTGAAGCTCGAGAAACAAGCGAGAGACCAGGAAAGCCGCCTCTACGTCAATTGGGTCGATCACATTCTGGGCCAACATAGAGGCCAATGCATTGAACGCTTCGGGGTTTGCTTTTTTCTGCAAAGCGACTTTGCAGGTTCCATTGCCAAATGGATCCAATTTGCAATGGAAAAGAGGGTTCAAATACTTGAGTTGGAGCTTTGGACAGACTCAATAGCTTGCCTTGATGATGACTACACATTTCCCCACAAGCTACTATTGGGTCCGGAAAAGCAGAAGGGCCTGTTTTCTAACCTTCCAAGCCTACGCCCTTGTGGATACAGTATTGCTCCTTTCAAGTCCCTCAGAGTTGTTCGCTTTAAACATGTTGGTGTGACTGGCGATGCTGTTGAGTTCTGTTGTCCAACTGTCCAGTTCTAGAACGTTTGTCGCTGAGTTTTGCCAAAGATTTAGGCAAGCTAAGAGTGATAGGTCCCTCCATCGCGTTGAAATATTTAGAGATAACGTATTGCCTTGATCTCAGGTTCATTGAGATCTCTGGTGCAAACATTGTCTCCTTTATTTATTGTGGACCGATAAGAGATTTGAGTTTGAATAATGTGCCCCTGCTGGTTGAGGTATCCATTTACAAGTGGGGCACTTTTGCTGAATTCATAAGGCTTGCGTTCAGTCAACTCTCATGCTGTCTTTCTCATTTAGAGACCCTGAAGCTGGATATCAGGAAAGCGGTTAGCATACTTATCCCATGTTATTTGGTTGAGATCAAGTATTGTCGCGTCCCTTACTCAGTTGTTGTTGGCTTTCAGGTCTACAATCAGAATCATGCGTTTCCCGCGTTATCAAATCTAAAGCATTTGGAATTATTAGTGGATGCCGACTACTGTCTGTCCCTTGGTCACTTAGCTTCTTTCATGAAGGCAGCTCCTGACTTGCGCAGCCTTGTTTTGGGGGTATGTATGTATTGTATGCCTTTGTTATTGATAGGCTACCAAATAAAAGTTGATATATGTATGAATGTTTTTGTGCGTTCATATCCTCTCATCTCACTGTTACCTGTATTCTCGAAGAACCAAAAGAATGAACAACGGGGTTTGTATTGAATCTGGTTTTGTTTGCTTTCCTTGTTGCAGTTGGAATTTGGAACCTCCAACGAGGACATGGCAATACTAGAGAAAGTTTCCAAACAACCCCATCACTGCCTCAAGGTAGGTGGTAGAAATAGCAGGGTATCGGGGTCACAGGTGTTGCGTAAAGCATGTCAGGTACTTGGTGAAGAATGTTGTTGCACTAGAGAAGATTGTTATAATTCCTGTCCGGTTTTGGTGTTGGCCTACGGGAATCGAGATCAATTACCTACTGGAGAACGAGGAAGCGAATGCAAGAGATCATGCCATCCAACACCTCAAGAAAAAAGTGCCTGCTAGTGTAGAATTTGTGTGCCTGTAGGAGTGCAGCGCCGCAGTGCTTTTTGTTAAATGATAGATTTTATTAGATTAGATGTTAGGTTAGTTACCGATAGAGAACCCGCAACGTATTGCTTATATTATTAAATATTATCTACAGTTTGTATTATTGTCAACTCTGAGCCATTGACTTACTTTTGTTTACTCGGATCATAGGTCCAAACAAGATCAAATTTTTATCCCAGCCCACATTAATTCGGCCCTTAAATTCAAAGGCCCAATGGACAACTTATCCTAGCCCACATTAATTCGGCCCTTAAATTCAAATATTGGGACTCCCGATGCTGATTTAATCAAACCTTTTACTTCCCGCACATCATTATGTCAAAGTTTAAGTGTTTTAAGGTTCGGTTCGATTTCAGGGTTTATATTGTCAGAGGACGATGGAGTTGTCCGAAGTTGTGCGACGGATGCTCACAATTACCAATCTTGTTGGGGGCAGGTGTGCACATTTAAGGCTAGTTTGGTATTGCTGTGTTTTTAAAAAAAACTACATCTATTGTGCTGTGAGAATAAACAGTTGTAAAATAAAGTTGTTAAGAGTTTGGTAAACTTTTTTTTTTTTGTAAACGTGCTTTTAATAAAAGAAGTAGTGTCTGAATATTTGGTAAACTTTTTTTTTTAGTTATGGAGTCCAACACGTACAGTTTCGGGACTCCCACACCCACCATCCCTTGATCTAGGAAATTTTTATCTTCATTCACTACTGCCATATCGGTGGAAAATAAACATATCCCACAATTTATAACAATACGTGATGTACCACCTTGTGTGACTGTCATCCTAAAAAATCTCTCCTGTCAAACTCCCCCATTCAACTCCACGTGTAACTGAACCTCCATAATTAATGGTGGATTTGGATCCTCTCCTGAGCTTATGGAGAGGATCCTCCTGACCAAGACACGTGAACCGTTAGATGAAAATCCAACGGCTACAAACATAAGGTCTCTTTAAAGTTATAATAATTATAGCCGTTAAATTTTCATCTAACGGTCCACGTGTTTTGGTCAGAATGATCCTCTCCTTAAGCTCAGGAGAGGTTCCAAATCCATTAATGGTGAGCCTGGGCCTCATTGTTAATGCTTGAAAAAGAAATGCTAGCACGCGAACTCCCCCATTCCTCCATAATTAAGGAACAGATCCGGAGAGGATCTGTTCCACCTGAACCCGGGAATCAATAGATCCTAACCCTTCAAATTTCATTCAACGGTCAAGAACTGTTATACTTTTTAAAACCTTCTCTTCTTTTATCCGTTGGATGAAATTTGGGGGTCGTGATCTTTTAATGGCGAGTCTGGACCTCATTGTTAATTTAATTAAAAAAATACCATTAAAAATAATTTTATTCTCTCTCTCACCTTCCCCCTTCCTCGATAAATCCAAGAACACCAAAGTACTTTTCCCGCCAACTTCTACCCCCACATTTCAGTCCTCCCTGCGGCTATGAAATTGAAAAAGATGGCTTCCAAGTTACAAAAATCCCTTGAAAATTCTCGACCACCCACGATCTGGATTCTGAATTGGAAAATTTCTCGGGCGAACTTACGATTTGAGTGCAGGTCTCTTTCTGTCTCCTAAATTTGCTACTTCTGTGATGGGTTTTTCTACAGGAATATGTTAAAGTGATTTTTTTGTTTGTTTGTTGCAACTTGCAAGTTGAAGAAGGAGATAATATTTTTTTTTTCAATTTCAGAGTTTTGTTTCTTCCTCTCTCATAATATTGTTTGTTTTCCAACGTCCTGTGACGTGTCGGACGGCTTTTCACCGTCAAGCATCATTTTAATATTCTTCTGGGTCGTGGCATCATTTTAATAGTCTGTCGCTCTTCTTCTCTCTTTCCTTGCACCTTCCCGTTCGGCAGTCTGTCGCTTTTCAGGTCAACACGCCAACGCAAACACAACTATTGCTATTTTTTCAGTCTGTGATCTGATTCTGAACCACTGCTGAGCCATAACGGTGGATAACGCCATGACAGCCCACGAAGCCTCCTCTTCGTCCTCCTCCAAGTCCAAACTCTGGAAGTACGACGTATTCTTGAGCTTCAGGGGTGAAGACACGCGCTATGGTTTCACGAGCCACCTCCACGCGGCATTAAAAGACAGAGGGTACCAGGTCTTTTTTGATGAGGACGATCTACCAAGAGGGGAAGAAATAAAAGAGCAACTGGTTCGTGCAATCGAAGAGTCGAGGATCTCTGTCATTATCTTCTCAAAGATGTATGCGGATTCGAGTTGGTGTCTTGACGAGCTGGTGAAGCTCATGGAGTGCAGATACAAACTGGGGCGACATGTTTTGCCAATATTTTATCACGTTGATCCTTCACATGTCAGGAAGCAGGACGGAGATTTAGCTGAAGCATTTAAGAAGCACGAAAAGGACATCCGTGAAGAAAAAGATGACAAGAAACGTGAAGCTAAACAAGAAAGGCTAAAGCTGTGGAGAGAGGCTCTCACAAAAGCTGCAAATTTGTCTGGCCACCATCTTAAAATCGCTAACAATGGGTAATCATTCAGCTGCTTTCAAGATTTAAGTTGTATTACTCTAATTAACATGCTTAATTAATACACCTTAATCTCTCACGTTGATCCTTCACAGAAGCTGCAATTTTTAGTGAATGACTTAATCTCTCAATTAATTGACATGCTTAATTAACATTCTACATAATCTAAACGTTCATTCACATGCTTAATGAATACACCTTAATCTCTCATAAGTAACCTAAACCGTAATTGGAGTTTAATTCATACGCCTAACTTTTATTTATCAATGAATTCTTTTATTCAACTTCGTTATAAAATCACATACTAGCTAGTAGCTAGTTAATATATATATATATATATATATATATATATATTATATGAAGGGAAGAAGGAAAGAAAATTGTTTATGTACTGATATCTCCTGCCGAGCCTTCATTGAGTCCCACTAATGCTTACGAATTCAATTTTCAGGTGCGAAGCAGAGTTCATTAAAAAAATTATTGACGAGAATATTTGTGAATGGCTCACCAGCACTTATGAATTACATGTGGCCAAGCACATAGTTGGAATCAATTCACGCATTCAAGATATTATCAGTTATCTTTCAAGTGGTGGATCAAATGATGTTCTCATGGTTGGAATTTGGGGGATGGGTGGATTGGGTAAAACAACAGCTGCCAAAGCCATTTATAACCAAATTCATCCTCAATTTGAATTCAAAAGTTTCCTTGCCGACATTCGCGATGATACAAGTAAACATGATCTGGTTCATGTGCAAAAGAAACTTATTTCTCACATCTTGAAAAAGAAGCGTGAAATAAGCTGTGTTGACGATGGTATCGGCCTGATAAAACAACAATTTCAACATAGAAAGATACTTGTCATCGTGGACAACATAGATAAAAAGGAACAACTGGATGCAATAGTTGGAAGTCATGATTGGTTTGGTCCTGGAAGTAGAATTATCATAACGACACGAGATGAACGTCTACTACTAAATGTGAACAAAACATTTCAGGCTAAGAAAATGAATGAAGAAGAAGCTCTTGAGCTATTTAGTTGGCATGCCTTTAAAAATAGTTGTCCTGATCAAGGATATCTTGAAGTTTCAGAAAAGGTTGGTTCTTACTGTGGAGGTTTACCACTAGCGCTTGAAGTTTTGGGATCTCTTTTGATTAAAAGATCGTTGGCAGAGTGGGAAAGCCAATTGGAGGAATTGGGAAGATATCCAGATGAAAACATTGTAAATCGACTCAGAATAAGCTTTGACGGGCTACGTCGTTCAGAGAAGGCTATATTTCTTGACATATCTTGTTTCTTTATTGGAGAGGACAAGGACTATGTCGCAAAAAGATTAGATGGATGCGGATTTTCTGCAACAATAGGAATCAGTGTCCTCCGTGAACGATGTCTTATAACTGTTGAGCAGAATAAGTTGAATATGCATGATTTGCTGCGAGAAATGGCCAGAGTAATCATTTCTGAAAAATCTCTTGATCACCCTGGAAAATGGAGTAGGTTGTGGAACCATCAAGAGGCCGCCAAAGTCTTGAGAAATAAATCTGTAAGTACATTCCCAATAAAATTTTGCATAATGCATCCTGCTTGAAAACATATATGTAACCCACGTATGTCTATTATACACTAAACAACATTTAAGTGTAAATATAATCACCGTAGGTGATTTTGCCTAATGAATAATAATACATGTAAATATACGCAAATAATCCGTTTCTTACACATGAATATAACCTTTTGTTAACAGGGAACTGAAGAAGTTGAAGGACTTGCTCTAAATTTCCCTGATCCTTGGCACCAAACTATTATGCCTAGTTTGAGTACAGAAGCATTTGCCAATATGAAGAAACTGAGATTCCTTCATCTCAGATATGTTCAGCTCAATGGAGAATACAAACATCTTCCCAAAGAGTTAATATGGTTGTGTTGGGAAAGATGCCTTTTAAAGTCCATACCAAATGACTTTTTCGATCAACCAAGACTAGTTGTTTTAGATATGCAGTGGAGCAGCCTGGTACAAGTTTGGGAGGGTTATAAGGTACGATCAATTACACATGATGATGTTCTGTTTCTATTTGTTTTTGGATTTCCTTTTTTTTATTATGACATCTTCCTTTTGGATATTAATTTCAATTTTCCTTTGGCTTTCTGTAACAGTTGCTAGAGAGGTTGAAAATCCTGAATCTCAGTCATTCCTACTCTCTAATTAAATCACCGGACTTTTCAGAAGTCCCAAATCTTGAAGAGTTGATACTGGAAGATTGTAAGGGTCTGTCTGAGATTCACCCCTCCATCGGTCAACTTCAAAAACTTTCTTTGGTGAACCTTAAAGCTTGCGATAACCTTAGTTCTCTTCCAAGGGATTTCTACAAGTTGAAATCTGTTGAGACTCTTCTTCTTAATGACTGTTTAGAATTCAAAGAACTGCATGAGGATTTAGGGGAGATGAAATCATTGAGAATACTTGAAGCAGAGTTTACAGCCATAAGACAAATACCATCTTCCACAGTTAGATTGAAGAATCTCACTTATCTATCCCTAAAAGGTGTGGAATTAGCACATGATGCAATCCCTCATGATCTTGGGAGTCTAATTTCTTTACAAGTTTTGGATCTTCAAGAGAATGATTTTCATACCCTACCCAGCCTCAGTGGTCTTACAAAGCTTGAAACATTGTGGTTAAATGACTGCTTTAACCTTCGTACAATCCCTGATTTACCAACAAATTTGAAATTTCTGTATGCCGATGATTGCCGTGCATTGGAAACAATGCCCAATTTTTCGGAAATGTCAAAGATGACAGAGTTGAGTGTAAAAGATTCGCACAAACTCACTGAGATTCCAGGCTTGGATAAGTCATTAAACTTCATGACATTGATTGATATGAGTAATTGCACCAATCTCACAGCTGATTTTAGGAAGAACATCCTACAGGTATCTCACACTCTCTCTCTCATTGCCTTCCTATCATGCACATGCACACACAAACGCACGTTTACATGTGTATGTATGTATGACACTTGCATTTTATATGTAGGGATTACATGTGTATGTATGTATGACACTTGCATTTTATATGTAGGGATGGACTTCGTGCGGATTTGGTGGCGTTTCACTCTCTGGGAATTTTGTTCCTGATTGGTTTGAGTTTGTTAACCATAGCAATACAGTCAGTTTTGATATTCCCCCGAATGATGGTCGTACTTTTGAAGGGCTGACTCTGTGCTTCTTGATAAAACCTGTAATTAGAGGTGAACTTGGCATTACTGTTATAAATAATACCAAGCGTAGAAAGTTGCAGGCTTACTTAAGCAGCGAATATTTGGATACGCCTAGACTTTGGCGAGGACTACTTTGGCAAGGACAACTATCGAACGATAAGCTCAAATTGCAAAGTGGGGATAAAGTTGAAGTTCAACTTTCAGCACCATCAATGAGAACAATGGTTAATCTAGTGTGGAACAAACCTATGAAGGAAAATACGCATGATTTGGACCAAGCTAGTTATGTTTTTGACCAACATCCAGCTCGGTTCTATGAGGAGTCATGTGATAATTCTGAGCCATCTAATGATTATGATCTCAGTAAGTACATCGGTAGTACTATAGCAGTGCATGATCATGGTCCTCTCAGCCTTGCGCATTCACATTTTTCCTTGTCTTCTAATACTTTTCCTGCAGGCCATCATATTCAGCCTCAAACCCGTTCTTAGAATCTCTCAGTACTCTTCCAGGCTCCAGCCACAGGGTTCGGCAGTCAATGACAGAGGAGATCAGATAGCCGACCCAATGGAGGAAGATTTTCTTACGCGCCTTTCTCGGTCTCTTGATCATTGGAAGCCACAGGGTCCAGCAGTCAGTGAGAGGAGATCAGATATCCGACCCAATGGACGAAGATCCTCTTACGCGCCTCTCTGTCTCTTGGTTATTCATCATCTACTTGTTCAGGTAACATTCAGCCGGACACCTGAGTCTCTTGGCCTTTACCATTTGGAGATAGTGAGACTATGAGAGTTGAATAGATTGTAGGGCTGTTCATGTTAAGATAAAAATATCCTCCGCATGACTAAGAAATGATGGATTCTTTCAGGCTCCTATGATTGTTTTCAATTAGTTGCTTTGAATTTTGAAGATATATTGCATCTAGAAACATTTCAACATTACAACAATCAATATAAGACATTCATCAAAATACTTGACAAATACTACTCAGAATTCGCACAAATACTTGCCCTGCTTCCACCACGTATTTCAGGAATTCACTTTTAAGGTTAGAAAATCAACGAAAGCTTTTCATTAATCTCGACTTGCCATGACATATTTGGCATAAGGTTTGAATTATCTTTTCCACTACCTTTGCAGTCGATGAACTCGTTTGAATACTAAACTGAACATATTCAAAATCCAAAAAGTGATCAATCAAAGAAATCTCTAACTGATTTAGCTGAGCATTGAGCAAGCATCAAGTATCAGAAAGTACCTTAGTTCCAGGAACAACGTCGTCAGGAGTACTCCACAGCTGCTACCTCACTGTGGCCGTCCGTGAGACCAAGTTTCAAAAGCAGTCGACTACTCAAATACCTCGAAAATCCTCCACGATGATTTTATCAGTCATCTTTCCAAGTGGTGGATCAAATGACGTTGTCATGATTGTAATTTGGGGGATGAGCGAGTTGGGTAAAACAACAGCTGCCAAAAACATTTATAATCAAAAGTTTCCTTGCCAACGTTAGCGACACTACGTGTAAACATGGTCTGGTTGATTTGCAAGAAAAACTTGTTTCTGACATTTTGAAATAGAATTTTCAAATAAGCAGTGTTGATGGAGAGATCAGTCTGGTAAAACATCAATAGCGCAGGGTTAAGCTAGTAATGCCCTCATCCATCCAGAGCATTAACCAGTTCTCGAGCTTTTTTTCCTCTTCTTCTTCCATCGACTTCCCGTAGAGGAGGCTTAATATGGCATAGAACCTGCACCCATCAAATGTTGCAGACAGACAGATTACATATGAACATTCCCGTAAACAACAGGAGAATTTAAAAAGGAAGCTTTCGTGAAAACAAAAAAATAAAAAACAGCTCAAAAGTTAATGTAAACAGCAACTTACTGTTTACAGGGACATGCACCAAACTCTGCCCGGAGGCCCTATCACCTTCTTGATTCTATGGGAAACATCAGCCGGTTGAATGGCCGAAACGGAATATGTGTACTGCCTCCTGCAGCTTTCCCTCTTCCCGTCTACCACCACCATCGCATTTTCATCTTTGTCTGAGCAATTATTCTCCATGCTCTCAGGCTTGTGGTTGCGTCCCATGACAGAAACTCTGCCATTCACATAACCAACAAACTCACCTAATGTTTCAATGGGAATATACGTAAGCTTTGTAGTACAAAGATTAAAGCAAACTGAGCGTTCATCACTGTGAACCATAAGAAACTCATCACTCCACAATGCCACAGGCCTAGAAGAAAATATGTGATATGTTTGTGGGAACATCTCGGGAGGGCACTCTGTGCGCTCATCAATAGTTAACTGTTTTGTCCAAGCACCGTTAGAGTCGTCATCCGTCACCCACATTTCATATAAGTCAGGTTTAGGATATCTATAATTCTGATGATTCTCAAAGAAAAGAGCAAACAGGGCAACTGATTCATTCCGCACAATATGCTTCAAATCAAGGTCACGCCCCAGGGGTAATCGTTGGAGCTCAGATGGTTCGGCATACCATGAAATACCTAGCAACTTGTATCGAAATAAATGATGGCCTTTCTGGACCTTTTGAATAAAAGAGTGAGGAAAAATGATGTCCTGGACACCAACAAGAGAGCAGCTACTGCTTTCCTCATCACCGATATTATCATCGTCTTTGCATAACGTAAGCAACGTCCTTGCATAACTTAAGCAACAAGAATACTTGTTCAGTTTCCTCCTCCTCATGCTGCTGCTGCACTACTATCACTTGAAAAGGAGGTTGCGAGTGGTGAGGTGGTTGTTGGCGGAGTTGGAGAGGTGCTTCAATTCAAAACTCGGATTGGTGAAGAGAGCATATCACCATTTAGAGAGTTTTGGGAGGCAATTTGATAGGATTTCCACCAACATATCTTGTCCCATTCTCATTTTGCTGCTGCAACACTACTATCTCTCTCTCTACATCAGTCGACACACGAGCAAAAAATGAAATTAACAATCTAATCTGTAACCCTATTATGAATCAATCAAAAACAAAATTAACAATAAACAAAAACTTTTGTATCAATTGCCTAACAAATTATGAAAATATAATTTCCTTCCGGAAGAAAAGAAGAACGCGAAAAACTGATTTAGATATGTGATTAAAACTTGGATTAATTTGGGGAATCAACACTTAGTGGGAAAAGGCTTTGTTGTTGTTGTTGTTGTTTTGTAAGGTTTAATCATCATATAAGCTATCTGATTAAGACTAGAAGGTAAGAGTTTATTATTAATTGTTAGAGAAACTACCTGAGATGAAAGATTTGCAGCATATATCCGAGATCTAATCTCACACTCCAAATTTAGACGAGTTGCAAAATTTAAGATTTGCATCATAAATCCGAGCACAAAGGCGATATTTGAGATCCAAATTCGAACATCATGAAATAAATTTCAAAAGAGACATTGAAATCGAAACTGAAATTAAATAGAATTGAGAGTTTGATTGATACCCGGCTTTCGAACCCTGTCACCAGCAACAAAACCCTGAAACCCAAGAACACAAAAACAAAGTTAAACAGCAAAAAGTACCGAAATTTAGCGTAATTTTCGTGTTTCTTATCTTCTTCGCGAAATTTCACCGAGAGGAGTGGTACGGCGGCCACTTCAGAGCTCTGTCCCCAGTGAGTTTGCCAGCGCCGGGGTCGATTTTCCGACGAGTTTGCCAACATCATGAATTAAATATTACCGTCATCCCCTTGGTAATCACCCTGTCCATATGCAGGCCTTAAATCAGAAGGCCTTAAATCAGAAGGGCATATGAATTAAATATTACCGTCATCACCTTGGTAATCACCCTGTCCATATGCAGACCCTGAATCCAGAAGGACACCTGTCCATATGCAGACCCTGAATCCAGAAGGACATATGGGACAGGGCGATCACCAAGAGGATGATGGTAATAGTAATCTTTCTGCATGGAAGCTCCAGCCTCCGGATTGGGGTCTGCGAATTGAAGGTTGATGAATTACTGGGGATATTGTGCTCCATCTTATAGGTTCTGCTACAACTAAAACCCAAGACAGAAGAAAGCCCTTCTATTTACTTTCACCCGAAAGCCCAATGGACAACTTATCCCAGCCCACACTAATTCGGCCCTTAAATTCAAATGTTGGCTCTCCCGAGCTCTGTCTGCGGGTAGAATGAATAAGTAAGTAGAAGGCCTTCCTGCAATATACTTGTACCTTTTTCACTTCAAAACCCGACATAAAACGGGAAACAAAAATAAAACACCAAGAAGACAAAAGAGGATACCAGAGATACTGAGAAGATTCTACTAGTTTGTTATATTTTTTCAATATTTTGAATATTGATTGTGAAGAAAACAAAGAGACATTTTTTATATCTTTTATCTTTTTTCTCATTATATTGTTTTTTTAATACAGATATGTGCGTCATGTGGATTTCATCTCTATTAAAGATATGATACAAATGATAATACTATTAAAATTTTAAAATGTTAGTGACACACCCCGACTGAGATCAAGGCATGCTGGCCGTCACGTGAGAGTGACGTAGTCATGTGCACAGTGCGGAAGTAATAAAGATATCAATACATGAATAAATAAATAAATAACTGAAATACTAGAGTGCACTACTAAACATGGAGTGATAGGAGTTAGTTACAACAGTAAACACTCCTAATTAGAGCATAAAGTCTAAGTGCAGTCCAGTAGGACGAGTACTAATTATACAGTACCAGGATTGTCCTACTAGATATATAGATAAGTCAGAACTGCCGACGCCCTCGAGCCACCAACAACAACTTACTTAAAACCTGGAGGGGCGCAAAACAGAAAACGTGAGTGGGCAAAACAAATGTTTTACAAAACCATTTCACTTATCAACATATCTAACCCCTCGTTGTAAAACATGTATAATTTTCCCAGAATTAAGATATAAGCATATACATATATATCCGAAATCATAACTATTCAATTCATGCTTCACATAATCATATTCATATGTATATAAACCATGCCAAGATATAACAGAGTAAGCAATTCAGGTAAGAATGAATTCATAGAAATATGACATGATAGCCGGAACCCCTGTGGTAGTCTGTACGGCTGAATTCATAGCTCAAACTAAATCTAGCCGGAATCACTTCTATGACCTATACGGCAATACACTGCACATACGTCGGAACCACTAAAAAGGGTTTGTACGACAAGATTGGGTGAGATATAATTATGCTCAATCTTATTCTCTCATAATAGCCGGGCGATAAATCGCTAGTCACCTACAAGTCGGAACCATATAAGGACTATACGACAAGACTGTGCACTTAAATTGGATCCAAAGTGAGCATATAGTGCGGGGGTGACATAATAAACGGGCATGTATCATATCTCTGGCTAAATCAATCACCCTAGGTGCAGGTTATGAGCTCAATGTTTATCAATGCATTTATAATCATTCTATTCATGACCAAGGCCTTGACTCAATTAATGTATGACTGCATCTAACGTTTCGTTAGACTGCCTACGTACCCTGAATAGGGATCAAGTCATTCGTAGTTCACATAATCAAACATAACTTACCTGAACTCACCTGGGCCTCCACAGCACCACATTTATATATATATATATATATATATATATATATATATATATATATATATATATATATATATATATATATATATGCAACCATGCAATGCATATTCAAAATATAAAAACATTTGGCATATTAATTCAAGGCATACATTCATTTAAACGCATTTTCTGGGAAAATATCAAGTATATAAATATATACTGAAAACAAAAGCCCACTCACTGATGTGTCGATGGGTCGTAGCCCCCGAGCCTCGATTGATTATGCTCGTCCCGAGAATAGGCCTCACCTATAGGCGTAATAATCGAATAAACGTTATTTAACGCACATAACCAACAATAGGTAATAACTTCTCATATATAGTTCAAATTGGGTATATGAATATACCACTGTGACCTACACAACCTAAAGATCATCCCTATATTTTTAAAATAATTTTTCGAGCTCCCACGCGCCGGCCAAGGCACGGCCAGACGCGCCCCCACATGCGGCCACGTGCTGTCAGCATGACTGACGCCGTTAGGAATATTCCGTTAAAACCCACGGTAACTGTTAACTCTAACTGACGGCGTCAGAATTGACGAAATATTCCGTCGTCTTCAAACCACTATATCTCGGCCATTTTTCATCCATTTTTCACGAAACTTAAACCAATTCAAAGCTTATAACATGAGGATCAAGTTTATACCAATTTTGAGTCCCAAAGATCGCTGGATCTCACCGGAGAACTCTCGAAAGTCCGGCCACCTCTGCAACTCTTCCGTTCTACGCTTTCCGACGTCCAAATCCTTCCAAAATGCTTCTCCGAGCTTCGTGAGAACGTCCTTAAGCTTCCTATGGCTTTAAAATTCGTTGAAAAGTCCACAAATACGATCACATGAACAGTACCTCAAATCGGGTTATTTGGTTCTCACGATCCTGACGTCCAATCTTAGCCAAAACTGACTTAAAGTGCTAGAAAAGACTAAAGCTTACCTTTTTTAGCCTTAAAACGCCTTAAAACCTCCACGTTCACGTCGGAGTTACTGTGCTCCAAAATCGGGGTTTCGAATAACCCGAGTTCTCGACTTTCATATGTCCAACCAAGGATAGTGATGAGTTCCTGAGCATGCTGGGAGTCTAAAACCAACCTCCAAAACTTCGATTTGTGTTGAAATGGTTTGGTTTGAGGTTCGTCCGTACGTTTGTACGGATTTTCTGCAAAAATCCGAGAGGAAGGAGAGAGAGATAGTGTCAACGAGAGAGAGAATGAAAGTTAGTGTGTGTGTGTGTGTGTGAGTGTGTGTGTTCCACGTGGGTCTAACCAAGACCAAAGAAAACACTTGAGTCTTAAGTGTTCCAAAACTTAGGAAAAGAAAAGTTTGTCCAAATAAAACTTAACCCACATAACCACACAACCCAATTATATTTCGACGTCCAAGGGTATTTCCGTCTTTTCACATTTTCAAAAACAATTTCCCGGGACGGGCTGTGACAGTTAGATTGCTTAAAAAAGAAAAATAATATACCCAGTATATGTAAAATACATGAAAAATAATTTACCTACATAATAATAACAAACCCATATATGCAAAATACATGCAAACTAATTTACCTTATAAATTCATTGTTTAATTTTTAAAAGAAACAATGTTTCTACTAGTTATTTATTTTTATTTTTTTCCAAAAATAAAGTACCTATTATTGAATTTTTACGAAAATTGTGTACCTATTGTGTAATTTAAAAAAAATTACATATGGTTTATTTTTTTTATGAAAATAATGTAACTATTGTTTAGTTTTTACAAGAAACAATGTATCTACTAGTTTATTTTTACCTTTTTTTTTTTATTTTCACAAGTTAATGTATCTACTTTTTTCAATAGAATGTATATATTGAACTAATTAGATTTGGATTAGGCGATTTCACATAAAAGAAGAAAAGAACTTCTTCTTTTAAAAAAAAAAATTTAAAGCAAAAAAAACTTAAACTAATTAAATGTTGTTGACAAACAAAAGACAATAAATTAAAAGTCTACAAAAAAAACTGTAATAGCCATATTAATGTTGGTGGCATGGTGTTGTAAATAAATTTAAATGTATGGACATCTTTTATCTTACATGACATCAAATTCAAAATTTAGGTTTTATTTAGATGTTTTAATATAGGTGGGTTTATGTCTAGAGTTCAACAGTTGTAAGGGG